AAACCTTCCTAACCACTGAGACGTTTGAGCAAATGTTACGTCTTTTTGGAAGATTTGTGTGTTCCCCTGCCCAATTATTGGCCTTTTCGTACTGTACCCTGGAAGTTCAAAACAAACAAAACCAGGAGTGTCCTCTCCCTCCAATAGACAAAGTCCACTCTACCTGTCCACTCTACTCTTTGATTCTCCTCCCCCCCTGTATCCCCTCTATTACACGTCCGTTCTCACTCGTCTTTACCCGTCATCCTCTTACGTTGGGTTCAGAGTGCCCGTAAAACACAATATCTCAGTGTTAGTAAAATGTAGATAACTAAGCACAAGTGGTTGGTACTTTCTCAAAATTTTTTCGTTACATAAAAGTAACATCCACACAAAAGCACGGCGGTTGGGTCTGCAAAAACAGGCAACCCAGAACCTTTCTGGGCCTTCGACACCCAAGTATTTTTGTAAACGAATGAGTTAAGTTCGGTGATAATAACAAAATAACAATTTAGCATATTACAGTCTACTAAACACACACAAAACCACGGTCGAGGGCGACACCACACACAACCCACACCACACCGCACGGCACGCCGCACACCACCAACCCGTAAACAAATACTATCACACAAGCAAGGCCCACCGTGAAGGCCGTCCTGATATCGTGATGTAAGACTCTAATTTGACTAAAAAAAAAGTGAACCTTTGTGTATATTGGATACTCTTGGTCTAAACACATTTAATGACAAGTACATTAAGACTTCTGTTTACGGGCCACCAAGGCCTGTGTGTGTTGTGCGCTTGTGTGTGTGTGTGTGTGCTGTGTTGTGTGTGTGTGTGGTGGTGTGTGTGTGTGTGTGTTGTGGTGTGTGTGTTTTTTTTTTTTTTTTTCGCGGTTGTGTGTGTGTGTGTGTGTGTGTGTGTGTGTGTGCGTGTCTGGTGTATGTGTGTGTGTCGGTTGTGGTGTGTGTCGGCCTCGACTCGTGTTTGTGTGTGTTTTAGTACGGCGGGACCCCACTGGCCTGTTAGAGGGGAAGATATTTTGTTCATTACTCCCTTATGAGACCCATCAGCTCACACACCCATTTCAATCCCTACACCACTAAGGTGGGGGACAACCTATGCTAACCTAAGTTGTAATAGTTATAGTATGCTCGCTTATGCGACGCTAAGGTTGTACTACGTTTTTATTACTGTTTAAGTATACGGGTAGCGAGTAAAACTCTAACACAGAAAAGACCTGTCTATGCTGGCCCAGAACGCCTCGTTGGAGATTTTTCTTTTTCCATTGTTTTCTTCCTGGGTACAGTGACATAACCATGCCGAGGTCCAAATGGACCAATCCGTGGAGCTCCTCACACACACACTCACTCAGCCTTATCTTTTCTCAGGCTGTGAGTGTGTGGCGAACAGCCTGGCTGTGAGTGTATGTGTGTGCTCCGCGGTGTCTCGCTGTCTTGCAGACCCCACGCAGCAACCAGGAAACGACACCAGTAATCCAGCTCACACTGTCTGCTCCTCGATCCTCAAAGAGCGGAGCAGCGAGCCCCGCAACGTCCCGCCAACACGGCACCCAGACCCCACGCAGCATTCTCATCTGTTTGTCATTACTGGTGTCATTTTCTGGTTGCTAACGCCATTGTAACACATAATCACTGATGTTCCGCTGTAACGGTAGTGGACTCGTCAGAACAGAGTGGGCGAGCTGACCAATCAGAGCACACTGGGCTCATAGGGAAAGGGGGGGCAGGAGCTCCAACAAGCCGTTTAGGGCAGAGAGTGAATACACATACTATACAGAGATGCTGTATGAGAAACCAATTTGAGTTTGGAAAATTGCACAATATAAATCTATTCTAGTAGACCTCAACAATGGAAATATGATCAGTAGAAATGGCCATGACATGGGACATTTAAAGAAAGCTGATGGTTATCCAGAGACGGAAGGTGTTTTGGTGGGGGCTGTGGGTGGAGGCCCAGAACAGACCAGGCACGAGGAAGATGTTTAGACTTGGGTGGAGCGCCTGTCAGAAGCATCAGGCTTTAGGGTTTGATGAAGACCTTTTGGTTCAGGACTCGAGAGTCACTTGACATTCAGGAGGTGTTAGTGGAATAATTGTCAAGAATCTGTCTTCATTATTTTTCTGCAGCAATATTTGTTCAGGCTGGCTTCTGTCCAGAGAAAGACAAACAGTGTCATGAAATCAAACCTCAGTGTGCTCCAGGGAAATGCATTTCACTAGCATTAAGGTTTGTATTAGAAAAGGCTGTAGCTTGATTTATTAGAATTCAACTTTAACTGCATCCTGTCAATAAATAAATCATTTACACAATCATTTAACGCTGGCGGACAGGGAGTCTTCACATTATAAATGTTTTTGTATTTGGAAATCTGATTTATTTATTTAAGATTTCAAGTTGCATTGGGACTGATTCATTTTTTTATTGTTTACACGTTGTAATCTCATTTTAAATGATCCCTATTCAAACATGAATTACCTCAGAAACATGTAATATGACCTCCTGGCTCGTCTTCTGAGTGTCAGTGTGATGATCACATTCCAGGCTGCGACAGCATATTTTAACAAATGTAAAACAAATGTAATCTCAGACTGCTCACCACTGCTGCAGACCACAGCTGGCGTTGTGCTGACATTGGAAACCCTACAAGCAGCTGTCTGACAGTATCTTTTCAAAATGTGTTTTTCCTGCAATAGCTATTTTATTTTTTTACTTTGTGACTGTCTCATGTATAATGGCTTTCATAGTAAGTCCGCCATTCCCACTCTAGTTTAGCTGATTCTAAATGTGGATACTTCCCTTAGTACAATGCATGTTGTACAGTGAACATTTGCATTTTTGTCTCGCACCCTGCTGTGCCTCACCGAAAGGGACGATTACCGCTGTTAGCTAGCTTACTAGAAATTCTGTCACTCGTGGTGGCAAATAAGTACAAACTGCTCAATTAAGTCCCCTTCTCCCTCTTAGGCCCCAAGACTGTTTTTCAGGTTTCAGGCTCGAAAATGACATTCCCAGAACAAATGACCATATCTTCCCTTGTAAAAGGGTTAAATTAATAATCTTTTTTCTCAAAGTAATGATAAACCTGTGAGTTGGATGTAGAAAAGTCAGAATCAATATAGATGTTTTTTATTTTAAAGAAAATTCAGATTGAACATGGTAAAAAACTGTAAATTATAGTGTCCGTCCAAAAGATATTTTGTACTTATAGTGAAAACTAACCTTGGATGATGGGTTAGTAGACTAAAAGCTTTAGTAATCCAAAGTACAACATATACTAAGTACCCTGTATCAAGATTGATGCAAAACAAGTGATATTTGTCCTTTTTAGACAGATTTAGCAAAACAAACCTCTTCTGGGGCCATTTGGGTGGATTTTCCATATCTCTGGCCCCCCTTGTTCGATGTTGACATGTGACATCTCTTTCTGACCGTTAGAGCCAATAGAATCCAAGGAAAATCGTCACGCACACACTCACGTAAAAAAAAAAAGGTGGCGTCTCTGCGCTAGCTTGCAGCAGTGGGGAGAAATTTCCCTGCTCTGATATCAAGCAACGGAAAAGCTGTTTTATTGCTTATGGTTTATCAGAACATTTCAAAGGGGACACAGCCACATTGGATATTAACCTATGGATTAACTACAGCATCGTTGTTATCATTTTAATGCCATTGAAGACCAGTTTAGACCAGACAAAGATGAAGGTAAACCATGTTAGCGTTGTGGGCTACCTAGCACCACTTGTTTTGATGTACGTTTTTGTTGATAACGTAGCAATTTTGTATCTTTCAGTGTTGAGGTGGGCACCGTTAGATTCTGTGTCTCCTTGCGATCATAAACGATGTGTTGGATGTGCACCTAGGATGAGTAATAAGGGAGCTAGGAGTGATTATCGGTGCAGCAATAGGTTAGCATTTTTCGCTCAGGGATAATTTAGATGCTTCTTATGAGACTTGTGTTTTGTTTTGGTAAAAATGGTTTGTATCGTCAGTTAGCTGAGATGATTCCCGTTAATCTGGTATAACACATTAATAGGTTCTTAAATATTAAGATCCCCTGAGGCACAGTGTCGTGAAAGAAAGAAAAAAAAAGTACCCGCCGGGGGGACCTTGGGGCTTAACAGGTTAATCACAAGGTAGCTGCTAACTTTGCCTTTGTTCTGGTGAAGCTTTTTCACAGAAATTGATGAGACCAGAGTGGCTGAAGCAAAATAAGAGCTAAAACAAATCATAAATAAAGCCAAGAAAACCTTCAGACTTGGGTGATCATTCTCATACGTTCTTTCTGAGGCCCTATGTGTGGACATTCAACATTGAAAAATTATGGAAAAATAAGCTGCCTGCATGATGTTTTTCTGACACTTACAATAGAGCATGCAGGCCTCTGATTAGATTGCATAAAAGTGTAATTAAGTCGGACTTTCAGGGTGACACTCCGAGTCCCCCCTGTTAAATAATTCATGCAAGTACACGGGTCAAAAGAACGATCTATTATAAGAAAAATAGCAGGTCTCTCGTCTGTATTTTTTAGCCTTGCCCTATAGGCATAGAAAGACCTCAGCTGTGTCTATAGAAGGTATTATGCCGTGTCTATAGAAGGTGTTATGGTCTAGACCTTAATTTTCAAGCTTGATACACTCTTGCAGATCAAGGACATGCTTTGAATTCTCACCAAGTCCTTCTCTTATGTACTAATCAATCTCTGCAATACAGAACATCTACCTGAACACTTGTACAAGTCTCCACTTGCCTACCTGGTTGTTCACACTTCAATGATCCTACCTCTCCCAGTTGCAGCATCTCACTTTCCAAATCATCGGCTTCCAGCAAAGAAGGTTGCATTTTCTCTGTGGCCAACTTCTCCCCAGGAACCATGACTTCTTCAACACTGAGTAATGGGGATTTTAATACTGAATAAACTATATTTAGCTTTTTTGTTATCAATATTAAAATTACTGCACTGCATTTGACTAGCAGGTATGTATCATCTTCTTCAAAAGGAGGGTCTTCTCTCTTTGGGCTAATGAGCAAGGCCAATGCTTCTCTTCCCGGTAGCCAGTCACCAATCAGAGTCCTTTATTGTAAAGTTTGGACCTCTTGTTATGTTGACACATTTCCATGGCGATGAGAGGTATTTGTGCTCTGAGTTTAGACTCTCTAAGCCATGACTACCAGCACTTAAAGAGGCAGGAAGAACAGTGGAAGCAAATGGCTTGTTTTTATCGACTCTGTAACAACATCTAAATCTGACTTTCATCTAAAACGCTTCAAAGTTAAACAAGTTATACTGCAGGAATAAACCTTTTCAGTCCCGCTTCTCTCTTATATAAACAAGAATCACAGACAAAACACATGTGTTGACATATTCTGTAAATATTTCTCTTTATTTGAAAGTAAATGTAAAGTCTTTGCAGTGGATGCATTAAAATGGAATATCCTCAATCAATTACACAACAAAGGTCATTATAGCAGAGGCTGATTGGATCAGAGTTGTTTATAGCAGCAGCAATATGCAAACACAGAAAAAGAAACCCCCTCCCCCATCACAATACAGTCTCACTGACTGACACAGTGCTGGTAAATAGACAGAGCTTTTAAAATATAACCAGGAGAGAGAAGATCGCCATGCATTTAGTTAATGCTGCCGTTTTATCCCTAAACCGCAGAATAGGCTTTTTTTTGTTCTTTTTTTAAATCAAGCAGAATCAAAGTGCTCCTTTACATAATCAAAATACATTCTTAGAAAAGATTGAAGTAGTACTCTTTGTATTTTATACTTTGAATATATATCTATAGAAGCTATATATAGAAGCTATGTGTATCAATTGTTTGTCTTGCTGCACATTTTACATCACAGACGTTTTCTTCACGGCTCCCATTCCAATGAAACTAAATGTGTTGAAAACAAAATTATACAGATTGAACAACAGTGGGGGCGTGGGGTATCCCCCTCTTTATCCAGGCAGTGAATAAAAGACTATTTAGAAAACGAAAAGCTGTGAGGGACGTTTGAAAATCACATTGAAATCTGTTTATCATGCTAACAGTTACCTTTAAAATTTGAATCAAAGACAAATAAAGGGAACAGACAAGACTCAGAAGCGGACAAGAAAAGCCACAAGTTACTGCAGAGTGGGTGGTCAATAAACAATGTGGCCCCTCCACCAATATATTCAATTTACAACCCTGATGCATTGGAAAGCAGAACATGACCACAGCGGCAGTGGGATTGCCTTTTGTCCCTGAATGAAAAGCATCACTGGAACTTATAACAATAGTACTGAACTGCTGAGATCAAAACTTAAAAAGCCATGTGGGCAGTTTCCTGTCACCAAAACACCATCTGTAAGATTTGCAGGCTTGTGTGACTCACAGAGCAACAAATTCATGCTTATTTTAAATGTGACTGTTTGACAAGGTAAGAAACAAGCAGAATCGTCATGTAAAACATACACCTGAGCACATGCATGTTTGAAACCCACTCGTATAGAGATGCACACTTCTGAATTGTTATGGCACATACGCGCACATATATGCGGATGCTACTGAGCAGGTTTGTGAGGTCACAGTGAAAGGGTGGCGTGTAAGCCTAGGGTTGTGCACAATCATGCAGAGGGACAAAAGAGAATGACTATGCTGTAACTCGGCAGATAGTTAATGTAAGGCAAGAGGAATAGGGGGTTATGATGTGGATAAATGCACATTTCAAAACTCAATAGCTTAAAATGTTTTGTTACATGTCATTTTTAAAAGGAAACGTTTCACAGAGTAAGATGAAAAGATTGATGTTGTGCTATGGTAAATATGACGCTACAGCCAGGAGCCTTAGCATAGCTTAGAATAAAGACTGGAAAACTTGGAAATGGTTAGCTTTGCTATCCAAACTTAACTAAATAAACATTTTTAAGGCTAACTATTTGAAACACACTTTTGTTGGAAGCCAAACTATAACAAATCATACGACCATTTTTTCAGAATTGGCTGTAGGATTGGTGTGTCGAGATGACTGCCATGTTGTTTTAACTCTGATTTGTGTAATATGCTTCTGCTACCACAGATGGCAGGAAGAACATGTCAACAAATGAGGACGCAGGTCTTAGTTTAGCATAATGGAGTTTAACCACATACGTAATGTCCCCATATGATAACGCAGCGTGACGGGGAGGAACAAGTTCACCTTTAGGGCACTGGTAGGGAGATATTGTTGCATTTCCCTAGGGTTCCAGTGTTTATGCTAAGCTAATGCTGCATTTAGACATGAAAGAACACTCCTGAATCAAAGACATCCTTGCTTTGTCTGTCTGAATGCCTCAAACGGGCTGTTGAATGTAGCTTCTCATTAACCATAGCAAAAAGTAGTGGTATCAATATTCTCATCTTACTCCTGGAAATAGAGATCAATGTATACCCAAAATAACACCTTTAACTTATAAACTAATGATTCGATCATTGAACAATAATATGCGAATCAAGAAATGTCAAAACAATGTTGCATCCAGCATGATTATATGATTGATATATGATTAGGATAATATTGGATTGGGGCAAACACATCAATGATTAGATAGTTAAAATCTGAAAATTAATTGATTAGATTTCTTTAAATATGAATCAGGTTAAACCTTGTTGCTTCTTGGTTGACCTCCAAATTCCTATGCAGCTGCTGTTGGTGGGACAAGCACCAGCTGGGAGACAGAGTACCATAATGATGTTGGGAGAATGGATAGGCCAATAAAAAGAGAGCTAGCACAGATGCTGATGCGCTTTGAATGAGTGCCAGTAAATAGCTATATAATATGGTAGTTTAGGCTGTTACAAAATCGCTGTTTTCATAATCAGGGCAGCCTGTTAGCATGCCAAATGAGCTTGCACAATATCTGTCTTTCAGTTGTTTCTATCTTCATGCCTGTACATCTTTGAATCATATATTCCATTTGACTTTTTCATTAAACTAATTGAAAATAAAACCCCATCTCCAATAGATTTGACCAGCCCTGAATCCTTCCTGAATGTCCCTTTCATTCGTATTTCTGAAACATCTGTGAGTTTGTTATCAATGCCATACTTAACTCGTAAAATAGGAAACCCCAATAAAAGCCTTTTAACTGTAACAATAACACAGAGTATATTATATTTCTTGAGTATATTCTCTTCTTGGTCATGCATTCACAATGAGGCAGGTCATTACACTAGGTGCACACATTATGAATCAAAATGATCAATTAATAATTTTTGGAAGTATCATCAACAAGCAAAACAGATTTTCAGAGAACAGAACATTTCCAACTTGCTACAGACAAAATCGCAGAGCCCAACAAAAACATTAAAGTGGTATAAAAAAAGAAAGAAACCTGTTTCTTTTTTTTTACAGTACAAAAATTGGCACAGTATTTTTTAACCAGTGTTGCTGTGTCCTCCAGATTGGTTGTTGACAGAAAGCCGCCACTTCACGGACCTACACGCAGAAAACCCTGAGAGAGGAGACAGAAGGGGAGACAGAAAGATGGACAGAGAGAGCAGAGACATGGAAATAGAGATGTTACAGTCATTACTCATCCAACGAACCGGGACTTTGATGGCCAAATGTGAAATTCAAGTGACAATCCACACAGGAGCCATCGTCTGTGATGAATTATGTTGGGGCTTAATGAGCCATAGTGGATATGTAGGGCCCTTGTTTTGCTCTCATGGCAAGAGTATATGAAGTGTCTAATCTTCAATGTGCACAAATGACGACGGAAACAAAAACCGAAATGGAACAGACCCACTCGCTTTCACTCTAATCCTGTTAGTTTAAAGGCCCCTCTCCATGGGTTTCTATGGTTACCCACTCTGTTTGCATCTGAAACGAGGAGTGATAACACATCGGGGCCGCCAACAACTACAGGTTGGAGATTGGAGTCATACAAATGTCTTTCAGAGGAAAAACTGTCAATCAATGAGATAAATCTAAATGGGCTGTGCCAAAAAAAACATTTTCTCTCTTATAATATGAGTTACCCAGTTGGCATATCTGAGTGGTTAAAAAATGGTGTCTGGTAAATAAAAAATAAATAAGATGATTACTAAAACACATCATAGATCTTAAGCATCCCAAGCTGTTCAGCTGTGTTGCAGATGAGTTGAGTGAGTAATCCTGGTTTCAAGGTTAAAGACATTACCACGTGTCCTAAATTCCACAACGAATCCAAAAGATGAATGATGAAGCAAAGGGCGACATGAATGTACAAAGGAAAAAAATAAAATGATTCATGCCTGAGTCAGCAGGTTTGAATAACCAAATTAGCAAAAGGCTAGGCCCTTGGTCAATAACTGAGGAAGATAGTTTATAAGAAATTATGCTTATTTTTATGACTCATAACGGATGAATCCTTTTGTTTCTGGTGACCCCTTGACCCCAACTATCCATTTGTAGATAGGATATGACACAATCTACTGGGAAAGTTACTATACCATTACTATGGATGCCTTTCGTGTCATACAAAAGCCAAAATGTTACAGGCAAGATACGTCTTTATCCACTAAGATTATTGCCTTGAAATGTACTAAGGACATACATATTGGCTTTAGGATAAACTTTTGAATTACCCTAGGGAAAATGGAATAACACACTTACTCATCTGAGTCCTTTTTGCTCTCCTCAATGAAGGCTATGGACTCTGAGCGAAGCCTGTTGGTGACCTCATAGGTCCGCAGGGTGACTCCAAAGATGTCTTCATGGTAGCGGTTCTCATCCTGGATACGGTGGGAAGGTGAAAGTAAAGAGAACACGAATATGAAATGGATATTGTTACACAGTAAATGACAGGACTGATTTTAAAGAAAGAAAAGAATACCATATATAATCAAATCTTAAACACAGCAAAAGGAGACTTCTACAATAAGAGCATGCAATTAAGATATATTATGGTTTCAGAATAGTTCTTAGTTCGCTTTGGGGGTCTTAATATCATACATAGAATTTAAAATGTATAAGTAAATTGTACTTTTTATTTAAAGTTTAGAGATTTTAAAGATATCTTTATCCACTCTTACAATATAGAAAGACAGAGTTACGGACTGTGTTTACATGCCTGCAGTTGTTATAATAGACAGATTCACTGAACAGTCAAAACGCCTCTTCAGTCAATTTGTATTCTACACATGTAAGTGTGTTAATTGTAGGCTTGTTGAAACGTGTCATTTTTTCTATTTATAGCCTGTTACCCTTGAGTTCACACATGAATATGAGCCAGTGGGGGTGTTTTTAACCTTCATTTTCACAAGTTATCCTGACTCAACACGCCTTCTGTTTTTCAACTGCTCCACGCTAGCACTCAGTTACATTCATGTGAAGAAGCTAAGTTGTAAAACCTCGCCTGTTCACATTCACTTTTTTCACAGCTCATCTAGGATTCAAACCTTTGACACAACCAGTACCAATATTCCAACCCTATAATGGTGAACATCATTGTGATAATGTTGCACGGTGACCGCTATTTTTTCTTACCCGCAGCTTGCTGATGAAGAAGCCAGCATCCTCCAGGGTCATTTTGCCTTGCTGCCTGATGATTTGCTGGATGGTCTTGAGAACATCCCCAGCCATTGTAACATCCCCACACACGTAGATGTGTCCTCCCTCCTCCCTCAGGCACTGGTACACCGTCTCTGACAGCTGCTCCCGCAGTACATCCTGTACGTATTTCTGACAGAGAGACAATGGGGAATGATGGGTGTGAATTAGGAAGTCAAGTGTGAGACAAGTAAGGGAAGCAAACGATGTGAAAAGTCAGAAGTACTGTACAATGACAGAAACTTAATCAAGATAAATAAAGTAGCAAACTGCAAGCTCAAAGCCTGTTGGATACCTTGGAAAAGTAACTTTCTATATAAGGAGGACCTAGAAGATGGATAAAAACTAAATGCTAAATATAAAGTCAATTAGAGAGTCCAGACCAAAGCCAAGGTTGATTGTGCAGTCAAGTGCTCCTTGGGCATTTCCATTTCCACAGTGAGGCATTTCCCAAAGAACATATTTTGTCCACTTATTCCAACATTAAATAAAAGCAGCACAAATCTCACAATGTTAACAGCATTTAAACATTACTAGTGTATCCACCACATGATTTGGAACAGCTTTACAATTAATGTGTTCTTCCTTTATCCAATCTTCATAATCCTGCTAATTAATCAAAAGCATAACCTCCTCTGCAGAGATAATAACTTTACCTTGGGATCAACTGTAGAAAATTGCCAAATTGAGATACATTATGTGAATCGGAGTGAACTATCTCCTGAATACAAGCACAGCCTTTCCTCTACTCTAACTTTATTTTAAACCCACACAGCAACCCAACATTTTGCTGACTCATCCACAGCTATGGAATGTTTAGTGCTTGTACCTTTGGTTTGCCGGGCTCTCTTGAATAGGCGGTGTAGAGTTCCTTGAACGCTTGTTTGTTCTTGGCCTGGATGGTCTCCTCGTTGTAGATGTGGTCCATCTCAGACTGCCGACAACCGAACACCAGGGTCATGGGGCACGACTCCATTCCTAAAAAATATGACAATCAGAGTTACTTTGCTGCTCTGAATGGTGATTAAGAAGAAACAATCTGCTGTTTTGTGTATTATCTTGATCTCTGATATGGATTTGATACGACTTCCATAATACGATATATATATGCGAGGTGCACATGATAGCATTTATCCTTGATATTCTTATAATAAGCCATCAATCAATACATTCCTTCAGCTAGTTCATGTTCAGCAGGGACAATCCAAAGCAACGCCTTCTCTCAAAGATAACAATAAATAAGGAAGGAGAAAAACAACCTACCGTTGTGTTCAAGGTCAAATAGTCTTTGTTGCCAGAAGCTTCTGAAAGGGGCGATACCTGTTCCCGGGCCCACCAGGATACAAGGTGCTTGGTTGTCTTTGGGAAGTCGGAATGATGGTGCACTAAAGTAATGCATTAGACAAAAAAATGAAGCAAATATGTAATAAAAGTGATGACTAAACTTTTGACATTGGGGAAAAAGTGTATTCTGTTTCTGGATTGTCTGACAAAAGAACATGATCTCTTGTGTCTGCCAGCTGAATATGAAACTGCAGCAGCTGGCTTACTTAGTTTAGTAGAAAGACTGGAAGCAGCTACCCTGGGTTTGTCCAACAATAACAAAAAACCTACAAAGCCCACATTATGTTTTGTTTGTCTAGTCTATAATGATAAGTGGCTGTTTTACATGGATTTATATGGTTTTATTTCTTGGTTTGCTACCAGTGGAGACTCCAGGAAGTTACTGGCTCTGACTGGGAAACAGCTTGGTTGTTTTATTGTCGATAAATATGTTCAGATCAAACATGTTAATTAGTGAGCTTTAGAGGTGCTTGTTTGTAGAGTTTGTTACTTTAGAATGAGCTAGCTGTTTTCCTGTTTTCAGTCTTTGTGCTCAGCTAAGTAAGCTAGCTGCTGGTGGTAGTTCACATTTAGCATGCAGACATCTTTTCTGAGAAAGAAGATTAGCTTTTTCCCCTCAAAATGTCAACTTTTTCTTTTAACAAACAATACTGACTCAGCTGACATTAAAAAAATGTTTGGGGAAAAAAAACTATTTTATGATATTTACCCTCTGACAAAGCATGGCACCATCTCCCCCTTCTCTATGCTGTTGAGCCACGAGGAACACACTCCATGGTGAATAGGTCCCACTCCATCTGAAATGGATGATTATTACCAAGCAGGCACTTTACCATTTTCTCTCCACCTCCCACTCTCTTTAAGAGCAAAAACCAACAGAAGAAGAGTGGCCCCAACACGTTTTCCAAGGCAGGGCTGCTTTCCCCCTCAAGGTAAATGACATGTATTTAAAGGTTACCTTTACAAATCATAGTTATATTGTTTCCACAGGTACAAATTACACATATGAAAGAAAATAGCAGGGTTAGCATCTGGTAATGTTTGTAATATAAGAGCCTTGTGATATTCATGCTACAGTATACACGAAACTTGAATAGCCATAGTCATTTTAATATAGTGTCAGACAGACTGATATACCTGCAGTGTTTCCTCATATTTGTGTTTGTGTCTGTAACTAGAATATGTTTGTAGATATAGGCTCTTCCCGAGGCGTTTCTAAATCTACGTTTCTTGTAATTACAGTTGTGGTCTGGTTGCCCTTTGAAGCAGACCGGCTTTCCATGATAACTTCCAATCAATTTTCTTTGAGCCATCGGAGGGTTCCCAAAGAGGCTGAGTCATTTGACTCTCCGAGTCTCTTCAGCAACCTTGAAAGAGCCACAGCACAGTGCCTTTTATCCTTGGCTCAAACTGAAATAAAGGAAAAGATATACACAGGATAGGCTCTTATTGCTATTTTATGTGAAATGATTTAATCAGGGTTGGTTGCGAAACAATGACGCAACTGCAGGAGACACATTCTATTATTTGGCTGGGCAATCTGTTGATATATTGATATTGTGATATGATAGATAGTGCGTTAGATTTTGCATATTGTACAATGGTAATATGGCAAACCTCTTTGCCTGGTTTTAAAGGCTGCATTGCAGTAAGGTGATGTCATTTACTGAACTCACCAGATTTTCCTAGCTCTTCTATTATTTGCCTTCACCCATTCCGTCATTACTTCTACAATGCTTATGATTTTTTAACAGAACTCTCATTGTGTTAATATCTTTGAAAGCATCAATGGTGATTTTTTTATGAAACAATATCTATTCATATCCATTTTCAAATACTTTAATGGCATGATTATCCGGTACCACTTTACAATAAGACTACCCTTATAAAGGGTTTACAAATAGTTTGTAATTCATTTATTAATTAGGTTGTGAACACTTTATAAATCATTAATAAGCTTTCATAAGACATGAGATAAACAGGGCAACTGTGACCGGTTGCTTGCCAAATAGTGAGCCCTCATTTATCTGTACTGCTAAGTCTTATATCGGCAACTTAGCTTACTTTGTCTTCTTCATCAGCTAGCATCCTTGGTATCTGTTGCTCACTGAGTTGATTCTCGCTAAGTAGCCAATATAAGGCTTAGTCATCTTGCTAAATAGTGAGCCTGTGTTGATGTATGAAAACTATGTTAGAACTGGTTTATAAATGGTTCTTAATGATTAATAAAGTGTTTACAACCTAATTCATAACCTAAGTAGTTATGAAGTAGTCTTATTGTAAAGTGGTACAGATTATCCCAACCAAATTCACAAACGTTCCTTATTTTAAGGACCTAATGTAAGGGAACCATGCTTACTGCTAAATACAGTTTAAACCACAATCATGGTTGATCTAGTTGAAATGTCAAGTGGCAACACAAAATTCCAAGAAAGAAAGAGACCAATTCCAGACCTTCAAAAGCCTAATGGGAGCATTAAAGTTCATCCTCAAAGAGAGCAGCAGAAAATACCAACGGATACAACCCACACAGTCTTAAAATCCTTGGAGACACAGCAACTAATGCTCAGAGAGCCAAGTGGGTCCTTACCCCGAGCACGGTAAGAGACCACAGCCACGGTGAGGTGGATCTCCTCTGGGTGCAGGTCTGGAGAGGAGCTGATGGAGTAGTAGCGAGGCTGCAGCAGGGGCAGCTGGGTGAGCAGCAGAGTGGAGGGCATCTGAATGGAGGGGAACTCCTCCAGCACCTCCACCAGCGTCGGATCATTGAACCACTTCCACTCCTCGTACTCCTGCAAGCCCTGGGGGGTGATGAGAAAAAGACAAGGTGGGATGAGTACAGAGGTTGAAGAAGTACTTAGATCCTTTACTAAAGTAAAAGTATGAATTATATATTCTTAAAATACTTCATTACAAGTAACAGTCCTAAATGTAACATGATTGAACGACATAATTATTATCAGGTATATGAACATAAAGTATATAGTACTAAATACAGTTAAGTAGTCTTAATGCAGAACATCTCTTTATATAATGGTAAAATATCATGATACTATCCTGTTTTTTACCTAATACATATATGTAAGAGCCTTTTAAATGTTGGAGTTTGTCAATGTGGAGCCGATTTTAGTTACAAGATACAGCAGAGGAGTACAAAGTTAGATATTTGCCTCTGAAATGAAGCAGTGGGGAAGTATAATGTAGCATAACATAGAATTACTGAAAGTAAGATTGTTCATGGTTAACGTACTTAGTTTCATTGCAGCAATGGATAAGTTCAGATGGATATGTATCAGATTACATTTCTGTCTAAGTTAGTTTTTGAATTGTTGTTGTCCTAATTAAGAAACCTGAGTAGCTGCCATAATTACAGAAAGAAAATAGGGGGTGGTTTCCTCTTTTGGAAAACGTCTGACTCGAGAGCAGGAGGCAGCCACAAGCGGAGCCATTCACCATTCACTGCCCAACTGTTTTAGTGTGTCATCACTTACATTTGGGTGGGATTTATTTAGAGCACTGCCACAAGGCTTAAAAACTTTGATATATCCCCAACTTTTGCTTTGTTTTCAAAGTGCTAATGAGCGACAGTGCCCTTGAAGAAGACGAAGCACTGTTAAAAGCGCGGTGTGAACAATTAGCAAAGGTTTAACAAAAAAATACTCTTGGGCCTGTGTTTTTTCAACCTTGATGCACAGATGGGGTTTTTTCATGAACTGTTTTGAGGTTGCTTATGAATATGCAATCATTTTTAAAGGCAATTCCCTCTTTCGTGCTTTTGAAAATACATAAAAAGAACCCAATAACAAAACAAACTTAACAGCTTGAATGTTCTCGAATGCTTGATATGATTAAAAAGACTAGGAGTGTCAGAGATCCATGCTTTAGTCCGGAAATGAGCTTGAAATTAGGGCATATACAAATTAAAATTATCTGCAGTGCTGATTCTACAGTACTGTTTCTGAATTCCTCTTGCTTTGGTGACAATGATTCGATGTATGAGCATATGAGTCACTGCTTGGCCTCAGCCAGCCTTCTCCACACATTGACAGAAATGGAGAGTGAATTGTGGGAGGCACTGCATGGGGGAATGGCTCTGAGTTAGAACGAACAACGGCTATAATTTGGCGCCAGCCCACTCCTGCTGTACATATTTCTGTCGGAGCAAAGTGCAACAAATAGACATTCAGACACAAAAAAAACATGTCCCGTATTCTGATGGCAAACATGAGAAATGCGTTGGTTATTGTTGTGCCTTAAACACATGTCAAGTCTTTCTAGAACTGTGCTTCAAAATGTGCTTTAGCATAAATATCTGCATACATTTGGCATGCAAGAAAAGACAGCCTAATTTTGGATATAGCCTACGCACATACATTTCAAATCCAACATTTAGCTCAGTTACGCTGAATTTACCTTGCTGAGGACCTCTAGTTTCTTTTTGTGTTTGTCATTGGTTGCCAGAGCAGCAAACTGCTGCAGCAGCACAGGGCTAGGTGGGGTGGTGATGTCCAGGAAGTACTGGAAGGCCTGGTAGATGGTGCAGGGAGGGATCCGAGTTTCATTGGTCCAGTTACTGATAACACCTGTAGTAAGGAAAAAAAGATTCTTCATTTCATTTTTCATCCTCAGTGCATTAATGTGTAACTGATGAGCTAGTGGTGTGGAACCCACAGAAGATTCACCGAAAAACACCCAACTGTGAATTCCCCTTAATTCCATGCAGAGTTTAAGCTTCTACCTTTGAATATATTTTTTTTCTGGCCTGAAAATTCACTGAAAAATCACAAATAAACCCATATTTCTGCCCAGCACCAAAAGGGCACACAATGGTATTAAATGCTTAGTTGTTCATAGGCAATTACATATCACGTACTACATATTATATATAGTCAAGACTATGTGATACTGTGTTTTCAGGATTTCAATACCTATTGAAACTTTATTAAATTAGCTTCATATGAAGAATTATTTTAATTTATTATTTTATTTATTTATTAGTAAAGTTCTTATATGCTGCTTATAAATGCCACGGCACAGGATGGCTTTGTGTCTTAAGGTAACGTTTGTTTAAGCTCATGTGATGTGTTTGAAAAACACCTTGCTTCACAGCCACATTTTAAATCACACTTATGTCACACGGTGTCACCACAACTGTGTCTGACTTCATCTCGTCTGTTGATTCAAGAGAGTCCGTTTCTTATTCATGTTCAGATTATGACATCCTGCCCAGATTCCAACTGCTACCCTCCAGTTTTCACGCCTGCCGTGTCCGTCAAGTACCATGACGTTGCTGATAGCATCACCCACCTAGGGCAGTGTTCCTCTCATCCAGGAACTCCACTTTCACAATTTGATTGACAGGCGGAGCGTCTTCCAGTTTATCTATGAGTGCTGTCACCAGGTCCTCGTGGTTGCCAGGGAAGATGCCCAGATGGTCGCCGGGCTGGTAGCTCAGCTTGTCGTGGTTGTTAGTGTGGAGCCGCACAAATATGGTGGAGCGACTGCAAAAGAGATACAATATTTGGGGAACTACGACGCACCATTTTCAGTCTGTTCCATTTAGTTTGTGCAGCACATTAAACCAAATGAAGGAGTTGGAAACAAGAGTGTATTACATCAAATAAGAATATATTTTTACAAGCTTACAAAACCGTTAACATGTGACTTATTATTGTCCTGTTTTAAAAAACATACTTACTTGGATTTAGAACTTTGCAAATTTTGAGATTCTAGCATCTTTGCACCGTACACCATCTTCTTGTGAACACTGTGCAATGCTGTTGGTAGACAAAAACACAATTATATTTTTACTGTTCCATGGGCGGTTCTAAGGGGGGCCCAACAGGAGCCAGTGCCCCTGTAACCTTGAGCTTAGAGCCCTTTGTGACCCCCCTCCAAAAGAAGAATTGATCATAATTATTCTTTTCAATAATTTAATACAATTGTAAATAATTTATAGAAACAAAATTATGCTACAAAAAAGAAATTCCAACAAAAATGAAGAAATCAAATCAAAGTTTGATTGTATAAATAAAGTAACAAATACATTCCTGTAACCTTGGCCAAAGTAACTCAAACTAGTAACTAAACTAAAATTGTAACTAAGTAGATACATACAGTAAACGCCATCAATATTTGTCACTTAGCTCCCACTGAATTATTATGTACCTTCTGTGAGGGCCGGGGCCTCGGCAGTGTACGTCATGCGGAACTTGCTCTTCTTCCAGCTGCGGTCGTTACTGATCAAGGAGTCGTTGGCCTTCTCGATGTTCACGTCATCGCCAACACAAAACACGTCACAGGCAGCCTTGACATATAACAACCGGGCAAAAGGAAAGAAAGGGAACATTTTTCAAAGTGTGCCCTCAAAGGAATAACAATTTTTGGAAAATTATCTCTGCATTCAAATTAGGACTGCCCCCACCAACTCAAGGTCAGTGTGTGGCCACTGTTGGGGTTGTTCTAAACACCACTGTTGGGGTAAAAGGGATGAGGGTGCCTTCTGATGTAGTTTTCTTTGTTGTGGTAGCACAGGTAGTAATGTGTCATGAATTAAAGTAAAAAATGATGTGCATGTTGTTCCCATTTGAACAACATGTAAGAATCTAGAGTCTTATCTTCTAGAACCAATTCACAATTCCAAAAGTAGATTAATGTTCATATTTAGTTTTCAATAAAATAAGCATGCTTCTTTTACTGACTGACTGCCCATAACCCTACACACTGAGTCAAAGTTGTGTCAACATAATTTTTTGACATGAAGGAACATACACAAATTTTGCAGTGTTGTTATGCTGGAAAAAAAAAGCCAGCAAGCCTAAGCACACCAATTGTATTTATGTGAAAGGCAGCATTTTTTTATTTTGTGGTGAAAATGGTAGTTTGGAATAGTAATTGTCATAGTTCTATTTGTGAAAAGTTGGCATGATTAAAATGTCACCTTTTGTCCTCGGTTTACCTTTGTGTGTTAATGTTATTACAATGAATAATATAACTGACAAATATGAGAACTCTAAAATCTTGTTCACACTTTACACTTCATCATGCCATATTTTGCCAAAACCCCTTTATTATTATTATAATGGATTAAATGCTGAAATTAACATCACTAAGATAACTGAATCGGAAATCCCTTGGAATCAAGAATCAATATTAATTTAACCAAGCCCAAAGGGTTTTAAACCATGAAACAGACCTTAAAAACCTTCTTGGCCCAGGTTCTGAATGACTCCTCCTGGCCACACAGCTCATCTCCCTCTCCCATACGTAGGATGCGCTCCCCCCCCAGCTCTTCAAACAGTGTGTCCACAGCGTGGGCAAAGGCGCAGAAGTGTGGGTAGGCCCTGGAGCCAAGGCCAAACACTGAGAACCTAAACAGAGACACACACAAACACATACACAAGAAGGAAGAGAGAGAACAAGTGTGAGAGGCAGATAGCGTTAAAAAAATCCAAACACAAACCAACGTTGGCGAATCACCGCCAACAAAGCCATGTCTGAATCCCTCGAATTAGTAGTCTTAGAGCTTTTGATTAGGTAGAAATGTGAATGAGCTGAGTTTTCAGAGGGCAGGAGATTCAAACCACAGCTTCACAACTTACTTCAACGTAGAGAGACATGTTTTTGTTTCTTTCATATTCAAAATGTCAGGAATCTGTCCACTGCAATTAGATTTGAAATCCAGAAAATAAGTTTAACATGCAAAACACATACAAATGACAAACGAAATGCTCAATTGATAAGACATACAGAAAAGACCTTGAAATTATAAACTGTAAATGCAGTGAAAAAAAAATAAACATGGCCTTCAACAAGTTATACATAATTGTATTAGATTAGATGAAAGCAATATAATATTATTGCTCTCAAATAACCTAATACAATTAGTGTATGTGTAATTTGTTGACATAATACATGTATTTAAGTCAACGCTTCAGTTGTTTTTCAGTGTGGGATGGCTTTTGTTTGACAAGTTGTTAAAGTCTTATTGTATGGCTAATTTTTGTTTACCTGACATTTGCGAGTGGTCCGGTGCTCTCAAAGTTAATCCTGGGTTCTGGCTCGTCACTGGAGGACTTGCGAGTGTCAGAGTAGGAGGACACGCTGTTGAAACGGACCTTGTAGCTCCTGGATGGGAGGCAAAAGCGGAGAGATTAAAAGCATGGACACATAACTCAAGGAAAAAGGAGAAAAATCCACAATGCAATACAAACTCACTTTCTATCTTCTGTGTTGGATGTTGGGTGGCGCATCTCCATTAAGGCAGCTCCAAATTTCTTCAGTAGCCAAAGAAGGACTGTTAGTAATCCATGCATCTGCCAAGTGTTGAATAGTCAGAGTTCTGAATATATAAATACCTCTCCATTCTCTGGTGGATCACCATTGCCGAATGTGCTGGTCACCGCTAACACCAGCGTCTCGTGCTCCAGGTCCACCACATCGTATTCATCCATTGACATGACCTGCGGATAACAAAACAGGGCATCATGCAAATGAAATATTAGCCTCCACGTACAGGGTGTAGTCTTCAGTGTGAATTGAAGACTACTATTGAAGGAAAAATGTGACAATATATTTATCTAAACTCCCTTATCATCCTAGGGCAAGATGATGAAGTCCACACACACACACACACACACACACACACACACACACACACACACACACACACACACACACACACACACACACACACACACACACACACACACACACACACACACACACACACACATATATCTCAGTCCTCCTCTGTCCTGATCATTGTGCTATTTTATTTAATTACATTTCCAGTGTTTTTCCATGTTGGGCGTTGCAGATTGGCTCTCATTACAGGCTGGTTGGGTGCTAATGACCCAACAATAATGAGCACAAACATTTTATGCTACATATATTTGACCAAAATGACAACAATATTTGCTTTGGCTAAACTACATTGACTGAAAACATAGACTTAATTGTCAAAAGCATTTATGAGTAAAATAGAACAAAATCAACTTTTTTCTTTGACTAACTTTCAGTGGAACTAAACTACATAAATAACAAATAAGGCTGGCTAATTATGATTTTTTTTAAACTCACAAAGACATTTGACACAGGACTAAGCCTAAATCAAAAAGAACTGGGAAAATCAACCCTCGCCTTTTTAAGCTTGCTCTCCAGACACACATTTCTAAAGACAGATGACCAGAGCGTGTAAAATAAGGCTGAACACGCAGTCGTTGGCGAACAACAAGAGGTTGTAATGAACACTCCGTCCTCGCCTCTAACGAGATGATAATATGCTGCTGCCACACAACGAGCATCCATGATGCATGCATACCGCTCAACATGAATGTGTTAGTCTGCCACAGGACTCACTTGTACTTCACACACACACAAAAACACACACAACCAAAGGCATGAAGAGGAAACAGGCTTTAGCCCCACGACAACGAAGATTTCCCCCGGGCACTCAAATCTGCCCTGCGATCTATCTACAGACACCCACTCTTAGTGACACACACATCCACACACACGAATCTCTTCTTGTACGATTGATCACACTGGGAAAACAGGAAGGGAAAATTAGACATGACCTGAAGGAAAAGCATGCAGTGTATGATTGAGAGCAGCGTGTTTAGCATTTTTTTTCTAATAGATTTGCACAGCCAGGGGTGCTTCGGGATCTTGTCTTAAACTACTGCACCGCTCAACGCATCGGTGGTTAAATGTTCCCTCCAACCCGCGGCACTTTACTGCATGAGAGAAGAAGAAAATGTGACAAAAGATACACTTTATTCTTGTATGCTCTCGTTGTCTGTACTCAGCTGGCATCTGCCTGGCTTCGTCAGCCACAGAGGGGGTAGAGGGGATGGAAGCGGGGGGTGTAGGAACGATGTCTTTGAATTCCTCTTTTTTAAATGAAACGTATGCACAATGACAGTATATGTTCCTGACCAACTTTCGGATAACATGATGCAAGGTAGGAGCAAGGGTACCTTTGCGTCGAATGCGTGCTTGAAGATTTCACACAGAGTTTTGGCATAATCTTGCGATTTGCCCGTCTCCGTTGCAAACAGTATGGTGGCTTTCACCCTCTTGGCCATGGCTTGGCCCATGAGCTTAGCTGAAAACTTCACAGCCCTGCAAAGGCAAAGAAAGAGATGGTTAAAATTGAAAAAGCACAGAAAATCAAAGGGTAAGACATTTAGAAAAACAAAAACCATTGATTTAGGGGCACAGTTTGCTGATAGATAATTTGGTTTTGAGACTAGTGTGGTACAGTTAGAAGCGGGAAAACAAATGTGTCAAGGGGGATGGATGACAATAATGATTACATAGCTTGTCATATCCTTGAGGAAAAACATTAAAAGCAGAACATGGGCGTGAACATGCATGCCTGCTCAGACAAAACACTGACAAAGCTTTGATTACTCCCTGAGGGGTTGATTGAATAAATTGCACCGCTGATCACACCAGTTTCCTTCCAATGTGTCTCACTTTTGTCAGTAAAGTGATTACTAGTTTGGCATTAGATTAGACACATCCTACACTAAATTATCTTTGGCATTTAATGATGCAATTTAACCTTGACTTTGAAAATGCAGGGAGAACAAAGGAAGAAAAACAAGTCATACATTTAACAAACACTAAACCTTGTTTTTTTCAAATCTTTCTGGGTGACTGCATACTCACTTGGCAAGCTTCTTGAATCCAATGGTTCTTTTCTTTGTTGGCGTCCCATTGGCTCCCTTCCACACATAGGTATTCCAGGGATCGAGCTTTTTGCATTTGGAACAAGAAATTCAAGTTTGTTTAAAGGGGCCCTATTATGCAGATTTTCAGGTTCATATTTTTATTTTGTTCACATGCTTTGATGTTCAAAAAAGGTCTTTACTTCTCTCATACTGCCTGTGCTGCAGCATCTATTTTCACCATCTGTCTAAAACCAAAACCCAGTCGGCTCTGATTGGTTAGCCGGCCGGCTGTGTTGTGATTGTAGAACCACTTAGAGATGTCCCGCTCCTAAGCTTATCACTTACAATGTGTTGAAGCACTAGCCAATAGTAGCGTGAGTGTTACCTAGTGAGGTCACTATGTTGCGGAAGTAAACAAAGGACTACATTTGAGGTGTTTCAAGCAGGGAGAAATGTCTGACATTAAATTTGTGAGTCCATCTACATGCAAACAAATCTATATAACATACTACAGGAAAGTGAAAACCCCCCAAAACACAAACACACTCTTTAGGGCTAGAATCCATTACCAGATACTGAGACATCTTCTGTGACATTCAGTGTATTCAAGAGGTGCAACTTGCTGTACAAACTTTCCTTTATTGTGTTTGGTCTACTTTTACTAATGATTCCCAACATTTACCTTTATGACTTCCTTAATATAGCTTTTCAACCAAGCAGTTTGTTAACATAAGTGCTGTACTTGTGGTAGTACCATCTGCCAATAAAACACAGCACCCCATGAGTTGCGTTACGGCTGTGGAAGCTAATGTCAAAGCAGGTATTCTTATCTCCGTTTTATGGCCTCACCTGGTACTCAAAGGAAGGGGTGAGGCGATAGTTGATCATTTCTTGGTGGAACACCGGTGTGATACTTCCTGACATGGGAGGCACAATCCACACCCAGTCTCCGGGGCAGCCACCTCGCACCCGGTACTCATTCTCCATGTGCTTCATGAAGGACTCTGTGGCTGAGTGATGGTCCACTATGGTGACTTTGCACAGCTGAAAATAAAGGATACACACAATGAGCTCATTTAAGTATCTCTGCATGTTCTCTGATGCTTTCTATAACTACTATAGATCAAATACAGTATCTCGTAACCCATTGGCTATTGGTCTGGCGACAATATCCTCTCAGGGTGAGGGGTAATCTTTTTGGGGTTCCATGTAGCTAGCAGATATCAGGGCAAAGACTTCCTTCAGTGCACTGCTCATTGTTTTCAGTTTGATTAGCAATAGTTAAAATATGCGAGGAATGGAGTTTAAGTGGGAAAACAACATGAAACGACCAATTTGTTTCACAAGGGGCCCTTTAACAAATATACTTTTGTAAAGCCTGCGTCACACTGTCCCGAAATTGACACCAGATGGACACACGAATATGGAATTGTGAATTTCGCACGAAGATGGCCCCGAACTTGGTCAACGGCCAAGCAACAGTCGAAGCAACAGCCGAAGCAAGTACGATGCCTACAGAAGGCCACACGATGGCGCCCGAACCACACACGAAGGCAACATTTACATTACATTTAAGATATACAACTGCAACGAAAGTAACAAAAACAAATTACGTTAAAGTACTATGGGACTTTACATTTTGGAAACTTGAGATTGTATATAATAAAAATTGTCACTGATATTTTCAGACTTTGTTCTTTACTTTCTCCGTCTTTATATGTAAAAGATATTAAGTTTTCTCTGTCATGTTGCTTCCATAGCATCAACAACTTCCTGTAAACAGCGTAAACTCGCCTTCAAAATAAAAGCATCTAAATAAAACCGGAAGTTAACCTAAATTACATTTAAGACATACAACTGCAACGAAAGTAACAAAAACAATGTAATATCCTTTTCAGTTTCACAGAACACAAATTGGGTTATTTACATAATATGTTTGACATGATTTTGTTGTGCAATAAAACAACCAGAGAAGCAGGAAGTCAGTCAGAGTTGGGGGTGCTAGTGCGGTTGAGGGGGGGAGGGGTGCGAGTGGAGCCTCGCAGCAGCAAAACTGTGTGCTACACTGTAGGTGCGCCGCAGTTGCGCTTCAGAGCAGGTTCCCTCCGCAAAATGAGGCCCCATTCGAGAGGGGTCTGCGTGATCTGCGTGTAGGGAGGGGCGGCCCTGTATAATAACATCATATTAAATGCAGTAATATGGTCTTTAGCAACAGCTTGTGAGAGCAGTGTATTCATTAGTGTTCGTTTTAATGCTGCCAGTTTGTTGACGGCCTGTGTGTTGATGGGACTTCTCATGCTCCCTAAATGTTTCCCCTGCCTTTCGCCAGTTGTTAAACCCTCCTTTCACAAAACTCCCATCCCTGATCTTGTTTGCACTGACGAGCTTCTTTTCAATAGCAGAGCAACAGAAGAAGCACACCGCATTATCACTTTCTCTTATATAGTGAAGCTTTTTATAGACTGCTTACACTTAAATGCTAACTCAAGAATAGTAACTCAAAATAAAACTTTTGTATTGATTTGTTTAGTGAACTTTTTGGCATTGCAGTTACAACTCTCTGCCAACAGATGGGGGGGGGGGGGCTGCAGCCCCCTCAGCACCCCCCCCCTTCCTGCGTCCCTGCAGAGAAGCGATCTGCAAGGAAACATTGCACACCGTGGTCCCATCTTGATGTCATCGTATTATAATACGATGGCTACACGACGGCATTGCGAGGGCTTCACGTAGTCGTGTTGCCTTCCTAAAACAATCGGACAATCCTTAGTTTTGTCTTCGTGAGGCGAAAAATGCCCAATGGCACCGATGATCACACAAAGTAAAGACGAAGATGACACGATTTGACAAGATGGCCTCACGCTGGCCTTACGAAGGGCAAAATGGAACCACGAATTCAACACGAAAAGGAACCTTTGCAAGGCCCTTCTGCAATTTTTTGGCATGCCAAAGATTTTGCCACAGCTCACGAAGTTGCTGCCAGAGCCTGAAAAACTCCTCCGGCGGTCATACGATGGCTTAAGATGCCCTCACGAATGGCCCGATGTTGTTACGATCAGAGCCGAATTTGAACATTTCCTTAAATCGTGTGTCCATCTGGTGTCAATTTCGGGACAGTGTGACAGGGGCTTTAGGGAATTATTTAACTAGTCTTTAATTATCATGGCCTTAAGGCTGAAACCTCCTTTTGTATGATAAAGCAGGCAACTCTCAGCCATTGGGGCCTCAACAGTAGCTGGTAAAGAGAAGACCTGTCTTTAAACCCTGAATGTGTCTAAAGCAAAGAGAAGACATAAACACAACGTTTCTGCTGAGGATCAGAGAGTACGTTTAATCAGACCAGTGCTTTCTGGAGCCAGCTTCTTTGTGAAAGACATTTCTGGTTGTTGATAGAGTGTTAGTTGTCCTTTTTGGGTGTGTTAAGTAGGCGCTGTGAGAGGACTTGAATCACATAATTGGTTGGGGTAGGAGCTTCAATAGAATCGCCCAACAAACCTCCAGTGTCAGTTCTCTAGCTTCATCATCATATTCCAGTTCATTGCTCCATCTAAGAGTTTCCATCCAATTAAAGCAAATTCATTGTCATTTGATAGCTGAACGGTTAAGAGGTTGCATTTCAGGCAAATCCTCTTTAATTCTCTACAGGGAATGTGAACCTGCATTCGACCAAAGCCTGCTCTGCATTCATATTCAGAATCTGTTTACAAAGATGATGTGCATTTCACAAAAAAATATGTTCCATTTCATCAGTTACATTAAAGGCACATCTTTTATGCCTGCTGACATTGGATGCACCTCATGTTAGACTACAATTAAAAAGTGACCGCTCTAGAGACAAACATGTTAAGCAAATTCTCAAAGAATAAGAGTGTTCAGAACATGCAAACTTTTCAGAGCCAGCCCATTGAGGCAACATATTCAAAACATTGTTTATTATAAAGTAAAGTGTACCTGGAAGCTGTAGAGAACAGCGATGTTGATTTCCACACATGCCTGGTCTTTCCAAAGGGAGGAAGTCTTCCTGGTGTCTAAGGCCATCTTGTCAGCAACTTCCTACATGATATAAAAATAAATGTAACAGTTGCAAATATGAAAAGTATCTGTCCAAATTAAATCAAGTGTGACATTGAAGTACTTTTCACGCCTCCAACAGGTGTTTGTTTATAGTAATAGATCTTTTTTTTTGAGAGTGCAAAAAAAGTATTTCTCCCTCTCTTTTAACTTGACTCAAAAGGAAACATGCACATTTAGGTAATTGCCCTAATTAGGTCACATATATAAAATATTTAACTTTGAAGCGTTTACTATTCACTTCCATTAGCTTCTCTAAATACATGACTTACAGTATTTGACTGCATAAATATATCAACAGTTAACTATGTACACATTTTGTAACAATATTCAAATTAACGATGTATAATTGATGTTATGAGTGTCTATGCCAATACAAAAGGAGGCTTTAAGTGCTGTTCAGCAGTTTTTTCGTCAGAGTGCACAATTAGCAGAGGAATGGCATCCTGATTTGACCATTTGGTGACACAACACATGCTCCCCTCTACACAAGGTGTCAGTCAATCTGTGGTTCCTATGGAGCATGACTCCATATTCTGGCACGACACATTACCTCCAGAATGTTGTAGCGCGAGCTGTCACAGAAGTCTCTCACGCCGATCTCTGTGCCCATGTACCAGCCGCTGAAGGGGCAGCCAGTGAACTCCAGACCCCCGATCTCAAGCAGCATGTTGGAGACCGCCGGGAGGGTGTACCACTTCAGCTCCAGGTCCTTGAACCAGTCGTACCTGGGCAGAGCAAACAGGGGATTGCCAGGTGGGAACTGTAGGTAAACATCCAACATTTGCGATATCAAGCTTATTAGCCACAATAATTTGCATCGGTCTGTTTGAGCACAGAAATGTATTCCTGGGACACAAATAATTAAAAAAAACAGAGCAGCCAAAACCAACATTAACAAAAAGAAACCGTTTTTGAGAGCTTTTCAATGCTGGACAGAGCAGGCAGGGTGTAAATCAACCTCCCACTGCTCGCTCCTTGCACCCTCTAGGGGGATTGATAACATTGCTTTCAGTGTATTATTTGAAGAGTCGGGTCTAATCTCATATAATGATGAGGCGCCGTTGGCGGTCGACTCCTGTGCCAAGCTGCTGCCAGAGCTGAGGGCCAGTTGAAGCGAGGAATGGAGCAAGAGATGCCAATTTTGGGGAGAGTAGTCTGGCGGGAGATCAGTGTGGGTTTTGAAATGCTCTGTGTAGCGTGCAGAGATGTAGTGATGGCTCAGTGTGCATCTGTATTTATGATAAGATGCAGTTTTTAATGTGATTAACAGTATAAGATAGAGCAGCATAATGCTTAAGATGTCAAACACATTGTGGTTTCATACAGGGTCAGTTTTCTTAAAATAAAGTAAACAAATAGAAAAAAGGCAAAGCTTGAAACTTCACTTTCAAGTCCCATGGTTACCACAAAAGCTGGCATAGCAACAGATCAAGTATGGCTTGTTGTGCTTTCTGGGAGCATTCAGCACAGTTTGAATGTCACAATAACCCAATCAGACTTATTGTTGTAAAAGTAACCCATTGTTTAAGAAGTGTTGTTAAGAGATGTGTGAGTGGGTGGATGTAACCCCCTCTGTTTTTATTTTTGCTAGATTTATGCATGCTTCAGAGGGAAAGCAGAACTCACTTAGGGTGTGTGAATGGCACCTCCAGGATGAGGTCTTCGGGAATTTCGAACAGCTCGGGATCATTTCCATTGGCTTGCAGCAGGAGGGGCAGGACATCAAAACGACCCTTTGCACCTTTCCATCCCAGCTGCGTGCAGATCTGAGGACGAATAGCAACAAAGCAGAGTGCAAATAGGACATTTGTTTCAAAGTGATATCGCCATTTACCACATTGACTTCAGCTCCTCTTGTGTACCTCAGTAAATTCGACATTAGCAGGGTCCCCTTGGATCTTTCCATCAGGCATTTTGTATCCAGCGTAGCGAATCAGCTGAGAGTTCCACACTCGATAGTCATGTTTTCCATCTATCCTCTGAGGGAATATGGTGATAGCCGACCTGCAAAAAACAAAACACATTTTGAAAAATATAACTTGGTTTCAAAGAAAAATCTAAATTCGGTGGCATATCTGTACCTACATTATAGTGTATACGGTGTGAGGGAAACATTAAATGGAGTATGTTAATTGATCAACTAGATTGCAACAGATGGTTGGCATCGTACATGTCATCCTCATAAAATATATTTTCAATTACGCTTTGTCACAGCTTAGCTACCTTTAGTCTGCTCTACATCCCAGTGGTGTTTTTAATGCCATGACCGGGTGAAAGTGTTAACACTACTAAGCTGGTGCTAAGTCACTGAGGAGGGGGAGCAGCTGCTGAGAATCTGGGCCAGTTGTGCTAGCAAACAACATCTGCAGTAAAGCTTGGAACCTGGTGTGAACAGCAAAACCAACAGTCTGTGCCTTCACAGACTTTAATGTGCCAACGACACATTTCATTACAATCTGTCCTCTTGCTGCCAATATCTAATGAAGTACATTGTTGACATTCACGAGTTCTAAGGGCTGTGTGTTGCTGCTGCTGAAGGGACATCCTGACAGGCCGGCGCAAAAGATACACACCCAAAAGCAGAACTCTTAAATACAGGAAGTGCTCAATCGGAATGTATCAATTACCTGCAGGGGTAAAGGTTGCAAATTCATGTCAAGAGATTTTGTTTAATACTTTGTTTAGATTGTACATTTAAACTTGTGATATGGTTGATTGAATATTAATACTGATAATGCGATTTGTTTGGTACTTAGGTATTAAATTGTTTTTCAGAAGTATACAGTAGGTCCTTACATTAAGTTGTGTTTACTACCGTAGACTACTGTCATGGTTTCCATAAATGTTTGTGTCACTTTTTTAAACATTTTGTAAATTGTTTACTTCCTTTTTATGTAAATAAACCTGCCTTTTACACTCCTCATGCCTGCTGGCTCTGTCTGCAAGCATGAGGCTTAAAAAAAAAAGATAAGCCCCTTGACTCTACTTTATTGCTTAAAAGAAACATTTAAACTGCATTAGTATAAAATAGAAAGGATAAACGTCACCAAATGGAATTGTTCACATTCTTGCAACCCAACAATGGCAACACACTGATGACTTATGGATCACTTTAACTGTAACGGTTTAGTAAATAATTTATTAATTTGTGACGACTAAAAAAAACCTTCATAAAAAGGTGCCTCAAGAGAAGTGTGCAGTGAAATTCAACAACATGTTGACACATATTTTGTAATATATTGAAGACATAACATCATGTTTTTCCAAGAAATCCTAAACCTAAAAACCACTGACTCATAGTCTTTTCTTTGCAGCATTTATCATCCTTCCTGACATTTGTATTTATATTTTGTCACGTTGACAGGTGTTTTGGGGATGAGCAGAATGATTTCAAAACTATTGCAACACGTTGCATGTGTTTATTTATGTGTCTGTATTTATCTATGTTGAAGCGAGCCAGACGGAGAGAGGATGTTGTGCTGGCTCCTATCAACATGTGTATCCGAGATCTCCTCCAGAAGGCCAGGCAAAGAGTAGTAAGGATTCAGAAGCTATCCATCATTCAAGAAGTAAATATTAGGTGTCACATTATGATTAGCACATGGCAGAAAGTGAGCGAGCAGGTCTGACAAATGACTGCTTGTTAGCAAGGCCCGCCGCCTCACCAAGAGGGCATTGATTGGTGCAGAGACACTGACAGGCAGCAGATAGTGTCAGATAAAGCATTAAGAGACAGAGCACAGGCTGACAGATGGGACAGAGGGTCATGTCAGGGCAGAAAGAGATGGAGAGAGAGGGGGGATGAGATATATGAAGCGACAGATGGGGAGAGAAACACGTGTAGTCTGAGGAACAGGAGCAGAGTAGAATAAAAGGAAACAAGATGTAGGTAAATAGCTGAGCATTGTGTGTGTTTTTTTGTTTACCTCAGATTGCCTTTGTTGGTGGCGTACTTGATGTGGTTACAGATGTAGTTGTACATTCCATGAGCTGTTGTGCAGTCTCTAGCATCAAAAAGCTGGAAAGCAAAACAAAAGAAGAATAGATGTTTTCAATATTAGAATAAAATAGTAGTACAGTCTGATATTTTATGCAAGATGATATATGACTGCAAAGCTATGTTTCTGCGTATCTTGGATGTTATATGAAACAGCAAATGCAAGTAGACGTGCAAAATGTATCTTGTTGACTTTCCATATTACTTGTTAAAAAAAAGCAGTGTAAATCTAAATGCTATTTGTGCATGCTGTATAGTACCTGCAGTTTGGACCACTGGATCCTCCCTACACATCGGGCAGCATTCCTCCAGGCGTGCTTGGCTCCATAAATCAGTTCAGTGTCTTTCAGCTGGTAAGTGTCCGAAATTTCGATCTCCTTGGTTACTTCCTCCAGCCTGTCCACATGAGCCTTAGAGCCGAACCTGTAGACAGAACAGGTACGGAGGCACAACAGAATAGAACATTTGAACTTCTAATCGAGTTGATTATTTCAATTAACTGAGTTTTTACTTTTGTAAAATATCCCAGTACTTGTTGCTTTCTGTTGTTATGTAAGCTAGGAAAATTAAGCTACCATGTTGAACCAGGCTCATTAGCTAACACTAACGAGTACCTATCAGGCATGTTAGCATTTACTACACTGACATTAGTGGATAAAAGAAAGAAGATAACCTCATAAGATAAAAAACAATACAAATAGTTCTTTATGTCTTATTTAACCTTTATATTTTATTATTTGCCTCTACCCAAACATGCAGGAATGAGTTCTGAAACCCAGAAGTGTCATCATTGTTGCGCAGAAGTCCCTTTAACACAAGTCAATGGGTCGTTTGAATGAGGTTTTGAAAAGATTCCTAAAATAACTTCTGCAGCTAACACAAGCTTTAGAGATTTTACTTTTTTGTGATATTCTGGCATAAAAATATTTCAGTAACTACCCTTCCTTTAATGTTCGGTCTATCTAACCCACTCACTCTAAATTGCATTTGGGGAACCAGTGTGACGCCTACTTTCTGGCTGGCCTAACACAAATGCACTCTATTGAGTCACAACTGTCAGCTGTTACAGGCCGTGCTTACCTTTTGATAGAGGTGTAGTACTGGTCTATGAAGTCAGTGGCCAGTGGAAGAAGCTCCTCTTTGGTTCTGAACTCGTCTGGTTTGCGGACAGGGGGCATCATCACGGAGCCCATGCACACATTTTCATTACAGAGTGGCATCTGATGAGACAATATTATGACAAATGAGGTAGGATTTCGGGGGTTAAATCTGATTGTTGGTTTTTCGTTAGTGCCAAAAATCCATCTGAAGAGCCAGGAGATCATTGCATATGGTACAGTACAGCTCTGATATCAGTAAATATCCTCAACATTTACTTTCAACTAAAGGAAAAGACTAACAGAAGACACAATGCTGCCTTCCAGTTCACAACATAGAGGTGTTCCTTTCTTTTAATTGGACAAAGTATTCAACATATTTCAGAGGTCTTCGTGATTACTGTTCACTGACAAGAGCCAGTTTCTGTACTCATCTCTGTGAGTGACTAGATGCAAAATGAGATGCTTGGCCTCCTATTCATTTACAAAAGGCAGAGCTATCTTATTACCTTCCCCCTCTATTCATTTTAGATTAACCCGCTAGGTCTTGGTTCTGCTTGATATGAAACAGACCCAGGGCATGCTTGAATTACACTTTAGGTGTAAGTGTTTTCCTATTGTATTCACTTTTCTCTCCTTTTCTTACTGTGTGTGTGAGCCATAATCCCCTCACTTCTTTATCCCTCTAATAGAAGGCTCTCATTTGCCTATGAGTAAACCTCTCTTTTAATGCGTTTTCAAGGATAAATAAAGTGTCAATAAGAAATAAACTAGAACAAATATATATATATATTTTAATAGGTAAAGGCATACAGGCAGGATCACATCCAACTGCACTGACAAGTGTTCACCTTGATATTTAGTCCCACAGGGTTCAACTTCAGACGCAAGGTCATGTTTTATTATAAGCTCCGGACTCTGAATGCAAACAAGGGATCATAACTGTTTTACAATTTCTTTCATGATATTGTTCACACATGGCTGGCACGCATGTTAATGAATGAGTAAGTCGGTGAGTCATGGATTGGTATCCTTCTTTTAAGCAGGGCAGGAAGACTGAAAGAGTGAGGATACAAAAGAGAAAACAAGTAAACAGAGAGATGCAGGGAGAAAATTGCTCATAGCTGAGAGCAACCTTGTGTGGTCAGTTTAATATGATTAGAGATGAAGTCAGCTGTCACTTTGGTTTGCCTAAATGCCTTCACCAGCTTATAGAGAGATGGAATGAGGGAGCCAGAGCGGATGACAGGACGGATAGCGCAGGCGTGCAGCCGAAGAGGAAATTTGACACTGACCCCATCGCTACTAAAATTGGCTTGTCACGCTGAACCACACACTTGCACTGTCCAAACACTCAGACGTGGACTGGCAGTCCGTCCAAAATAAACTTCCCTCTGTGTGCCTTCCAACAAATCCAACCCTCGCTCGACAAAAACAGAGAAGAGAAACAAATATGTTGAGCAACACAACAAACACACCATCACAGCCAGTCAACCAAAATAAAAACGTAAAGCGAGTTAAAATGCGTGAAAGATTCTGTAATAACAAAGATAAAAATAAAAGGGATCATTTGAAAGAAAAAGGAAGCTGAGGAAAGAGTGTTGTCAACAAGAGAGAAGGAAAGATATGAACAGAAAGAGGTGACCGAGTAAAACGGGGTAATGGATGAGTAAAGCAGGGAGTGTTAAAAATAAAACAAAGGAATCACTCGTGCTCCAGCACGTCCGCTCATTATACCGCTCTGGGCATTCATGCCAGCCAGCTGTCCTTTTAGAAAAAGACGGATCATCCTCGAATACAGCAGTGTCTGTGATATATAATAAATCTGAAGATGCTATTAGAGGCCATTCATTGGGATGCACAGTCTGTGTTCGATAAGTCACCAAAGTAATTAGGCTGCTGTTTGCTGTTCACAAACGGCTGCTGTGATTTGGGGGGTGAATGCTTAAACAGCGGGGTTCACCTTGTGCTTGTTAGACTGGCTTATTAACTAGAGGGAGAAGCTTTGGCTGCATGATACAACTGATGAAAAGGGATAAAACGTCATTCAAACTTTTTGTTTTCTAGGTTTTGTGAAATAACCATTTCAGGTGTTCGAAAGTCAACATGCATGGGTCAAGAAAAACCGAAGCATGAGTTGTTCACTCACAAAAAGGCACATTGTTTCTAAAGTAAGGGATAGAGTAAGCACGGTTTTAGATTACCAACATATTACAATTAACTTTCATGAGCTGACAACACACTGTAAAATGAAAAGTCAAAGAGCACCAAAACTGGACCCTTGCAGTAACCTTTTGTTAACAAGGTAGCCCCGCCCTAAAGCAAGTACCATCATTTGCAAAATGAACATCATGCCATATTAAAGAAACTTGAAACCAGTGATCGAAACCATAAACTTGTCAGGAAATGTTTGTAATTTCTCATAGACTAAATGTGTATTATTGTAACCATGATGATGAAGGTACCCCAACATAAGCCAAGTAATAACCCATATCATTATCTTTTCCTAACTGTGCCTTAACCTTTGCGATGTTAGATTAGAAAATAGTCTTGATTTTCAATAGCCAATGTTGTCTTATTGAGAGTTGTCTTTTATCAAGAAATGCTGTGTGTCAATTTGGAAGGCACGGCCCGCTTTGTCCTTTAATTAGATGGAATTGTCACTTGATTTTTCTTATTTCAGCAAACATTTTCCAAATGTGTTCATAAGGTTCATCACTGGCATAGAAATCCGGGATATTATATGACGACTTGAATCACAACATCTTCCTCATCCTTGCCGGTATGGTTGCCACAGCAACAAATGTAAATATGTAAATCTTGAAGCAGAAGGCTTAATCCAACCCTTAATTGAGCTGATTTCCATATGGCTTACCTTGCTGGAGCTGTGGTGGAGTGTGTCATTGTAGAGGGTGCCAGTTTCCCAGTTCTTGACCTTAATGAAGCGGGGGCATTTGGAGGGGCTTCCATTCTGAAGTGACTTAGTGGGTGAGGTCCTTCCCTGAGCCGGGGGCTGGAAAGAGCACACAGAAAATGACACATGAGTCATTACTTCATGCCTTTGAACTATATACTGTATGGCTAATGGGTTCTGACCTCATAGATACCTTTGCTCCAAGCTGGATCAATTGTTTATGAGTCATACTGTGGTAAGAGACAGTCATGCATTGTCCTCAAACTACCTCAAATGGACATTGATTGGCAGGTTTAAGATGGGAATAACACAAACAATATATGGAGGAACTTTTGCAACCATTTGGAGGCTTTCTTTGTGGACCACAGACTATTTCTTCTCAGGGAATTATCAGTTTGTCATTGTGTTCAAGCCTCACCAACACAGAAACTCTTCACATTGCCCCCCCTATCCATTTCTGGTTTAGTTCCCACTCAAGGATAAAGACAATCAACATTTAACAGCAGGTTGATGGCAAGCTTACTTTGGCTCACTTGGTTTTCCAATATGGTGGCTGTATTGACTAAAATGAATGCCTGCAATTTAACCCCGAAGCAAACTGTACATGTTCCAAGAGAAAGGCACAGAGAGATGTCCAATTATCAGAGCAATCAATCCCACACCTTGGAAGCCCTTTCATCATCTCCCTCTGCATTGTTAATGACACAGTGGAGCATCTCCTGAACAACTGTGCCACAATCATCACACTCGTCTGGGACCTGAATACCGATAGTCACGCCAGTTGAGTCGCATTGTTATTTTTGCATCCTCTCAAACATCGGAGAGGAATGAGAGGGATTGAATTGAATTTGATTTTGCACATACCGGTAGTAAAGTGCTTAGATCCTGTGTGTTCATGCGCCAACAGCAGTAACCCCCACGGTGCGGCTCAGATATGACACATTATCACTGAGGTTGTGGACAGGAAGGAAGACCATCGGAGCGTAAAAATCTCTCGATCAAACAGGCAAAGAAAATCAGAGAATTAAAGCTTTTTTACAGGGAAAGCAGAGCAGTTATGTGCATGAACATTTATAAATGCTTGTTGCGCACTGACCGGAAGCTATAGCTCTGGCATTTACGTTTAACAAAGTCTGTTTATATGAACAACCTGTAAATGTCAGTTTACTTTTTCCCTCATTCATACACACGTTCTGATGTCATTTTAAAATGTCAGAGTTAATGTAGCATCTTTTCTCGCCCCTGAAAACATTTACATGAGCGGAAAGTCAGCTATTGAGTGACCATTAACTACATGTTTGGAAAGGACTGACATCAGCCAGGATAGATAGGGAGGTAATTGTGTCAAATAGATTGCTCAATCGAGATCCCTCCCGCTAAAAGAGATTGTCCAATCATAGATTGGCAAATGCATCTAGTACAGGGGTGTAAAACTCAATTTCATCACGGGCCACATCAGCATTATGCTTGCACTCAAAGGGCCGGTTGTAACTTTAAGACTATATAAAAAGACATATATAAATACATATAAAATAATGTATTACATTATTGCCTCTGCATTGGATTATTATCGGATAGGGTAATAACTTCTTAATTAACTACTACGTCTGAAAGCAGAAGTCTAGGACAAATAATTGCAAGTCTCTTCAGTAAGAATGTAGCAATATGATTTTCAAAGAAAAGCCACATTGGAAAAACATTGATTGTGACATTTTGAAAAAGAGAAGTGACATTTTGACTAATGACATATCACTGGAAAGATCAGGATGTCCTCTGTACAGTACATCAGGGATTGATAGAGTAGCTCAAAAGAGTTGCATGTTAACAACATTTCCACTACAGTGGACATTTCCAATGGGCTGGGTCCCAGGAGGATATACTATAAACAACAATAAGTATATTCCACACAATGAACATAATTGCACATTAATGAGTTTGATGGCAAGTTAGCAACCTAAACGTTATGTTTTGGGCTCTCTCCACCATAGTGAGGCGACCTGAGATCACCCATGCCCTTCTTAGAGTGTGAGACCTTCCATTCCAGCTGCCTGCTGTCATAAGGGCGGCGCGCCCCCTTCGACCCACAACAATACACAACATGAAATTACGTGCAAATTGGTGATATAAAAAAACGTTTTCATTGCGCTTGTGCCTCCCCCAGTCGAAATGCCGCCCTGGGCCACCGCCCATATCAATATCCGCCACTGCCCGGAAGAAAAAACGTACTGTACTTCGAGGGTTTGTGACTTTACATGCAGAAAAAGCTACATAACACACGAAAGGACGGGTAATAATAGGAAAAGCATATGGGACCTTTAATCACCCTGGATATGTTAGAACACCTGATTTCCAAGAAATGCACTGGGTGGGTGGGGTTGTTTTTGCAATGCAAAAGTTGAGGCCAAAAGCAACCCCAACCACCCAGTGCATTTCTTGGAAATCAGGTCTTACAATATCCCAAAAAAAACCGGCGGAGTGGAGATTGCGAAACTGAGGCCCAATGCCAAACCACACCCTAGCTACTTCCCCTCCGTGATTGAGTGAACTCCGTCTGTAGTCACGAGGCTCCCTTCTTCCAGGAGGAGGGTGTAAAAACAGCAGCAAGCTGAGAGACGATCTCCCCTCTCTCTGGCAGAAACAGGAAATGCTGTAACTTTTCGTAACAGCGGTTTCAAATCAGCATTATCTTGGATTAAATATAACCCCAAAAACCTTTAATGGCGTTTCCTTTTCGTTAAACACTTTTTGTTTTAAAATCTGATGTTTATAAGCTGCTTGGTTTTTGCAACAGTCCCTGTAAATATACACAACTTTTTCAATTTTGGACCGATTTTATCGACCTTCTTTGGGAGCCCCCCTTCTGGTCCGGGGCCCCAAGCTGTTGCCTGCCGGCAAATGGCGCCCCTGCTGATGCTCTTCTGGGTAATCATACATCCTATCATGTACACAGTTACAGTTGGGCTTCTCCTTCCCCTAAATCAGGGGTGTCCAACTCAATTTCATCACGGGCCACATTACATGTCATTTGTTAGATGCTTTTATCCAAAGCATACTGTACTGTGGATAGTCCCCACAGGAGCAATTTCTGGAGAAGTTTCTTGCCCAGGGACACAACGACATGCTGACTGCAGTGGGACTTGAACTTGCTATCCCCTGATTCGAAGTCCAGCACACTACCCACTGAGCCAAAGCCTCCCACATCAGCATTATGGTTACACTCAAAGGGCCAGTTGTAACTTTAAGACTATATAAAAAGATTTATATAAATATTGAATATATATAAAATAATGTATTGTATTACATTATTGCCTCTGCATTGGATTATTATCGGCTAGAGTAATAACTTTTTAATTAACTACTACGTCTGAAAGCAGAAGTCTTGGGCTTGCATGTCTCTTCAGTAAGAATGTCACAATGTGATTTTAAAAGAAAAGCCACATTCTGGAAAAACAAAAAAAAAGTCAAATTTTATCTAATCTATTTATGAGAAAAAGTCAAATTCTGAGAAAAAGTCGAATTTGAGATGCATTGTGGGACATGTCGTTTATGGGCAACGTGCTTCTGTGAAGTAGCATGTAACCGTATAATAAACATATTATATTCTTTGCAGGCTCTTGTGGGGCCACATAAAATGAAGTCGCGGGCCGGATTTGGCCCCCGGGTCTTGAGTTTGACACACCTGATCTAGTAGGTTCAGCTGATTTGCTAATGGCAAAATCACTCTTTTTCACTTATTCAATACTCCCTAAATAATAGATGTGTAATAGTTTAGTCATTAAACACTTATCATGTCTGCTGAAGTGTTGCTGAACACTATTTTTGCATTGTGGGATTCTTTAAAGTCATTCTTTTACTTATTACAATGTGGAATTTGTAAGCACTTTATAGTGGGTTGATTTACTCACAATTTGGACAATCAGATGGCAGATGGTAAATACTGTGCACTCTATAGTAAATGGGGGTTGATCCCTGACACAGCCAAGCTTTGGATTCCTCCACACGCTAAAGTGGCAGTTCAAGGTTCTTTTTTAACTGGTGTCTTTTGTTAGCCTTTCCAAAATCAAAAGCATAATTTAGTGATGTCAAGTTAGGATTGTATAGAGAAATCCTTTGTATGTAGAAAATCCTTATGCTCTTAATTTTGTATTGAGAACATTTAAGTAATCCCCTATACTTAGTGGGTGTCTTAAAGTTATACCTGTAAGCTATGGGAATATAATATATTAAAAACAAAACTCACAAAAAGAGAGAGACTGAGAGAATATTACAGAGTTACAAATCCATCTGCTGCTTCAGCACCACGGAGAGTGAAGTATCAGTACACATTCAAGATACCAAGATTTAAGAGCCAAGGTCGGGCCATAGATTCTATCTTGCACAATCCTTAGTCAAATAAAGCATACGTGAGTATGGTTGACTAAAGTGACTAGGGTATGAGAGATAACATAAATACCCCAAGGCGGCATGCCTGGACCATGGCCAGAGAGACCAAGTAAAGAATGAACTGGGTCAAAGGCAGGTATCTAAGCAAAATATTCCTTGACACTGGATCCTGACATTAAGAGTTACCTGTGCCTAGTTCCTGTTGTTCAATGTAAAACGAGAAGTTTAAACAAATAGTAAAGTTAGCTGAAAACATTTTTAAACCCACTCACGTTAACTTACCTAGCTAGCTAGCTACAGCTGACTCAAAATCAGGCAGCAACAGTTTTCATTGAAGTCCGAAATCAACAGTCTCCCACTACATGACAGCATGCTTTTATCTACTTCTGACTGAAATCAATAACCTAGAAACATACCTACTGAGATCAAGAGTAAAAATCTGCGCCAATAATATTGTAAAGCTCTACAAATTTAGAGAAAATATCTGACATTATAGTTTATCCTAATATAAAGATATAATAAAAGAGATAAAGATATGATTGTAATCGATCTGTGTTCTAATGCGCAAAGTCCAGTCTCTTTGTGAGACACTTCCCTGATCTTGTCCATTTTACTGGGAGAAGTTGCTGGACCACGCAAACTTTTGAAATCCCATCATTTGTCATCAAGCCTCAATGTCAAAAATAAGGTGTGGATGTAACAGTAGGAAGCATCTATGAAGCTAGAAATTAAGATAATTGGAGATAATCTGATAAAGATAATTTCATAACGGAGCGTAATGACCAAAGTCATTCTGGTAAATGCAGTTATAGAATAAAAGTTCCCTTAAACACCCATCAATTAAAATGTCTGATGGGAAATTGAGATAATGAGCGCACGGTAGAGGGTAAAAGGGAAACGAGAAAAGAAGAAAGTGAGACTGACAGCCGGAGAAATGGAAAGACATGGTACGTGTTAAATATTTATATGCTTTAGTCATGTGCATTTATGGTTTGACAATCGGGATTTAATTAGTGGTGATTAAGCCCTTGCGTGTATAGAAAGAGAAAATATATTCTCTGTTTTTAATGGATAATCAAAAGCTAGCTGGTGGAATTTGACGGAACATTTACCACCTTTTTTAGACAACAGGCTTTTCCAACATTATATCAGGCAGCAGCAGAAGCAAAAACAAGAGCATATCCTTCTCCAAAGTGAGAAACGTGTTGGCCGTTAACATGGCAAACCATGTACATCTGCCTTACATTTATTTTACTGTCTGACTTGAGTCTATCGAATTAAACACTTAGCGATGAGCCATCAAAGTCAGCATCAGTGTCTGGAGAAACGCCTGCAGGGGAGCTTCTTGCTGCATGAGTTAGTACACATGCATATACTGGACACTGACACACACACACTGCTTTCACTTCCCACACTTTTCTAAAAGCATGCATGTCCTCAGTCCGAGCACACACTCCCAAGACAAAGATCTAGCTATCACATCATACGTACATATCCTCTAGTGCCACTGTTGAGAATGCATCACCCAAACCAACCGCACCCACCCACCCCCCTTCTTCCCTTCCTCTTTCCAGCACTCACACAATTATTCTCATAAGCATGCACATTAACACTCTCTTCTCTGCAGGTCTGAGGGGCTGGAACGTTTCTACAGGAGCCACAATTGATAGAGAGTGACGGATCAGCAGCTGCATGTATTCATTAGACCTCCTGGAATCATTTTGCCCCATCCGGTCCCATTGAGAGGGGATCGGGCGGCATCACAAGTGGGTGGATAACGCAGACCATGTGCAGATTACGACACTATCCCTGTCACAGACTCTCAGACTTGTGACCAGACCCTTCTATGTGGAAGGCATAAGCTGGGTTTAATCCCGCACAAGCTTACCTCCCGGAAGGATCTAATGCCTAGGTGATGGGATCTTAAGCAAAGGCTTTACCACTATGAGCAAAGAAGCAACACAGATGTGCGGGCTCAGTTTCTGAAAGCATCGCAAGTGCCAATCGTGTGGATTAATGCTAAAAAAAAAAACTCAGACATGGATGCACATGTATTACACAGCTGCAAAGATTCGCTAACTGTAGCCGGCCTGCTCATAAACACAGGGAGGATTTGCAGGTTATTGATCTAAAAAATTAGAGCTACACAAACGTGTGCTTACAAGTGATTTTTCTTACTCGGAAAATCATTTGAAGGCTTGAACATTTGTTTCATGTTTACCTTGTTAGTGTCAGCGTTGTGGAGCACCACCGGCATGTTTTCCAGCATTCTGTTGTTATCTGATGCCAGCTGGGGAGACGTGCCATTTCCCACGCCAAGGTCCCTGGGGGTCATAAACAATTTTCTGTCAGGTGTGTTTGCTCACATCTGGTGCAACATAGTTATTTCATTTCATGTAAAAGAAAAAATGCCACACTTGGAATGGCATTGAAACGGTGAACAAGCCACCTTTCTGCTGTCTTTACAAATAAATGAACCAGGGACTTGTACACGCTCCAAAATACTTTTTACTCCGGGATCTCTGCACACCCACATCAGTGTTTTCTCTCTTCAGGCCTCCGTGGGTGTGTAGATGGAGATCGTTTGGCTTCTATCAGGCTCTCCAGTGTTTCTTGTTCACACTTGTTGCGGTGCTACATTGGGACAATGTGATCCTTCATGGAGGTCAGCCTAAGTAATTTCTTCTTCATTTCATCTCATTTCAAATCTTTATTTACCCAGGTGTATCCCATTGAGATCATTGATCTCTTTTTCAAGGGAGACCTGCTGTGTGTCACATCCTGGCCCTGACTGATCACCTCACTCCCTCACCTGGTGTGTTTTCCTTCCCTGTTAATCAACTGCCTGGCCTCAATGAGCCTCAGCTGTCCCTAATACTTACTCCTCTCCTGTGTATTTAGTCTGTGCTGTTGCCTTGGTCAGTGCCAGTTCGTCTTGTCTGTCTAGCAGGAAGTACTCCAAGATACTCTCCTAACGTATGCTCTAGCTTTTTAGCGTTTGTACCAACTTAGTTGGTTGTTTTTTCGTTGCTTCCAGTCTGTTCATTTTTTGATCTTTGCCTGTATTATTTTTGCCTTTTGGATTAAACGCTTGACTAAGACCTTTTTTGCCTGGTTGTGCTCTTGAGTTCTATTTTTGCTCGTGCCCGTACTTTTGTTTGATACTGTGCTCCAAATTCACTCAAAGAAGTGGGCGTATGCTACAAAAACTCCTAAGGAAAGACCCTTGTAAGATGGGGACAGAGACTTAAAAGTGAATTGCAAAAGGTGTATTGTCATTGCATGTGTGACTTCAATAATGTTTTGTAATATTTTGCCCGCGACTTCATTTTATGTGGCCCCACAAGAGCTTGCAAAGAATATGTTTATTATACGGTTATATGCTACTTTACAGAAGCACATTGTCCCACAATGCATCTCAAATTTGACTTTTTTTCCTCAACATACAGTATGCCTTTTCTCAGAATTTGACTTTTCTTGTCCAAATATGCCTTTTTTCTTAAAATTAGCCTTTTATTCATAAATAGATTTTTTTTTCAAAATGTCACTTCTCTTTTCAAAATGTCCCTTTTTTTTCCAGAATCTGGCTTTTTTTATAAAATCATTTTTTGACATGCGCACTGAAGGGACTTGTAATTATTTGCCCTAGACTTCTGCTTTCAGACGTAGTTGATTATGAAGTTACTACCCTATCTGATAATAATCCAATGCAGAGGCAATAATGTAATATAATACATTATTCTATATTATTAAATATTTATATGTATTTTAATATAGTCTTATATATAAAACTGGCCCCCATGACGCTAATGTAGCCCGAGAGGAAATTGAGTTTGACACCCCTGAACTGAGTTTACCCAGGAAGTTCAAACTTTACTAAGGTTTCTTGGCAGTAGCTAACTTTCTTTGCGTTGTTCTCTGCATTTAGACATGTGAGAACAGGTTAAGACTGATATTCAATTAGTTTTGCCTGTAGGCCATTTCAAATGACCTGAGGCTACAGATAATATAAATACTATTTATCAGATTAAATAAGTCCCAAAACATCGGAGAAAAAAAAAAATGCAAGGATCTGAGATTGTCCAGGTCTTTCTTAATAAAAAGGCTCAGTCTTAGTCTTTTTGATACCATTTCTTTGCAGTTTGACATCTATTTCCATACATTTAAAAAAACATCCATTTATTTTCAGTGTGAATTAGAAAATAGATACGGCTGACGGCTTGCAAGTGAAGCTCCTTCTGGCTTAGTCCTATTTAGTGATTTAAACATATCATAACCAAGTTACAATATAGATGTTTGACTTTCATTTAACATTGGATACAGTTTACGACATGAACAGGGAGGTCTCTCACTGAGCTGTAACTATAAGATCGTAAGAGACTACAGCAGAAGGGGGAGGGGAGGACACTGTGATACAGCTGTGTTAAACAACACGACATGAATAAACAAATAAACACAGTTTGCGTTCCTCCAATCAAAACCGCCCAAACGCAGATCCAGTCTACTGTATTCAGTTTCCCACCCCCCTAACTTTCTTATCATCACGTGCCTATGCTAATTGTAAATCCTTACAGGCTTCCCTTCACACTCCCTGTCACACTGTATCTCTTTATCATAGCAATTTGCATGATGATGTTTATCCCCCTCCATTCAAAGGTGGAGTTCAGACATGCAGAAACATGCAGAGAAGTTGCATATGTCACTAGTCATTAGCTCTGACGAAGATCGTCATCAGCCTCATGCTGAATTGTGAGATTGTTAAAAAAAGAAAATGCAGTAAATCAGCAATAATGTGCCATTCCTTTCCAAGCAAATAGATTACAATTATTTTAGGGTTTATTCGATATTGATGCCCTTTCAAAATAATGTATACTAATGATTGTTCTCATACACATTTTTCAAATGTAAATCAAATAAAGTAAGCTCTCTCCTAGTGCTGACCAAATGTCAACATGTTTTTAAATGATATACGCTTGAACCCTATTAAGAAAGCCATTTAACAAGACGTCGCCGTTCCCCATGTTTGTACATGTTTGTATTTATGAAAGAGAGGAGGATATGCATGGATTGTCAATAATGACATATTGATTGTAGGAGACTGAAGCCTCAATTGAATTTCAATTGGTCGTAGGAGTACAATAGCAGATAACTGAGACATCAATATCAACAGTACACTGTGCAGACCACTTAGAGTCGGGGGTAGAAGATGGGCTCAGACTGTGAAGCCGTGTAAAACGCTGCTACAGAATGAACACTTAAGACAAGCTAAAAGCAATTTAAGTCTAACATTTGTCAGTCTTCCTTCAAAATATTTGAAATGGAGACGTGTGGCATATACAGATGTTCACACTCCTCCACGAATTGCCTGATGAAACATTGCTGCAAATGACCTCACAAACCAAGAAGGACTATTTAGAAACGATTCACTCTCTTGGAAGATGATAATGAACAGTCTAATGACGAGCTTTGTGTACGCTAATTGGGGTCTACTTTGTGACATTGAAACCGAAACTAATGAAACAAATACTGTCTATCTTATTAACTGTAGCATCAAACTAAGGCCCCGTCCACACGGAGACGATATCAGTTGAATCCGCTAACGTTCTCTATCGTATAGACGGTTCGTCCACACAAGGCCGAAATTGAAACGCGGATTCGGAGCCCGAATCCGATAACCCTTTGATAACGGCTCCCAAAGTGGGTAGGTCTGAGGACGAAACGCTTGCGGCTCCGTGTGTACGCCCTATACGATCATTTCCTGAAAACGATGACGCCATAGCCCGGCCTTTCCCCACCTCTCCTGCTCACCCGCGTCATTGCTGATGCGTTTCGCCAACAACAACAATGGCGGATCACAGGGTTGCGTTCGTGCTCCAGACGCTACTGAACGTGCTACAGATGTTTGTGCAAAATCTACAGCTCCTCTACCACAACCATCAGCAATAATAATAATATAATACCGTAATTTTAGGAATATAAGCCGCAGCAGCGGCATACCACTCTCGGTTCCACTTTTACTTTTGCGCGCTACCTGTCTCACTCTTTTCCGGCCTCCAGCTTTTCCTGCTGGAACCCGCCGCTTAAAGGTGGGGGTCCGCGGACCGGCCATAGAGCCCATAGAGTTAAAGGTGTTGGCCGTTAGCTGTAAAAATCCATAGATTAGCCGCACCGTTATATAAGCCGCAGCGTCGGAAAATAGGGAAAAAGGCGCGGCTTATAGTCCGAAAATTACGGTAATCGTCATCGGTCTTATTCGCTGCTTTTGGTGTATTTTGAAACTGCCATGGTCAAGCTACATTTTTGGTTTAAAGAAGTTCATATGAACCTATAAAAAGAGCCCCAGTAATGGAAGAATAGCAAACTAAGTAGACATGATGAATGTTATGCGCCATGTATTCCTAATTGATGTTTGTTGGAGCTCAGCGCGCAGACAGTAATTACTTGGCACTGTACTCTGAGTCATATTAGAGCCTGTCTGTAGCTGCTAATACAATGCAGCTGGGTCAAGTAGTTTAGGGACGGCAGGGTGTCAAAGTGAGTGGGACTTCCTTTCAATCAGAGGACCAGGTGTACACTCAGCTAATAACCACCTTGTTGATGAGTTCTTGATCTAAATTGTGATTCTTATCCTCCCTAGCCTCTGACACCAACCTGCAATGTGAAAGGGACCAAGCACAAAGACATTCTTAAGGAATACTTAACACAGAAAATGACCATGTGTATATCAATTACTTACTAGGTGTTACCACGAAACTTTGTTTTTCTCGCATGCCTCCACGATGAAGGAAGAGTCAAACATTTGAGAAAAGTCTTGATGAACTGAAATAAATGGGAGACATTTCTAAGACAGCCAAATGCATGTTGGACTAGCATGGGCAAGTAGTGTTTCATATAGTAATTAATTAATAATGAATTTGTTAAGGAAGTTGTTAGCGTATGACTGGATAACTGAGACTGCATACATTTATCTAAAGTTTACAAACGATCCCCATTTATTTCATTTAAGACTTTTCTCAGTTTGTTGTTCCTTCGTTCACCGTAGAAGCCTGCAAGACATAGTGCTTGCAAGAATATAAGGTTAAACAGGGCAGTAGTTGATATTCGCATGTCATTTCATAGGTGAGGTATTCCTTTAACTGAGGGATCAATGAGGTAGCATCACATCACATATTACCTGGCCACTTGAATCTGGTTATCTCTTCTCCCCACGTTCCTCTGGCCTTCTCCATTGATCTCCCTTTTGCTGTTTTTGATGAGGCGCAGCACGGGTTCGATCTCCTTCAGGAGCTCGTTGTTCTCCTCCATCCCGTTGCACAGGAGCGCCCCGCGGCTCAGCAGGGGGTCCTGGGGGATGGACTGGGTGATGGAGGGAGTAGACAGGTTCTCAATGGCCCTCAGCTGGGGGTCCTTGTTGACCTGCTGCTGCTGCCCAGGGCTGAAGGGGCTCAGAGGGGAGCAGTGCTCGTAGGACTTGGAGGGTGGGAAGGCGGGACGTGTGACCCTCACTGTGCGTTGGCGGCCATCTCCGGATAGGGTGGTCTCCAGGTGGGTGGTGAAGCCCTCAGGCCCGCGGAGGATCAGCACGGCGTGGCTCTCGATCATCACGTTCTTCAGCGTCTCCAGGGCCCGCTCGTAGGACAGCTCCACCAGGGGCTTGTTGTTGACCGCCAAAACGATGTCGCCCACCTGCACCAGGCCGCACTCCTCTGCCGCCCCCCCACGGATCAGGTCCGACACAATGACAGGCGGCTTGGACACCCTCTGCTTCACCAGGAAGCCCAGCCCACCGACCTTCCTCTTGAAAAGACGCACTGAGATGATGTTGGGCTGCAGCTGGCACACTGTGGGCTCTGACTCCTGCATGGTGCCCGTGTGTGTGTGTGTGATCGCCCGTGTGTGTTTGAGTCTGGGTATATGTGTGTCCCCAGGGATGTGTCTGAAAAGCAACAGAAGGAGGAGAGGAAATAGAAGTTCTATTAGTTTTAGTCGAAATTACCTTTGCTGCATGATTTGTTTACAGTGTGTTGATAAGTCAAAGCGGGTATATGAGTCACTCAAGGAGAGTGTAATATGATAGGGATCATTAAGTGCTATTGAGCTACTAATACAAATGTGGTCACACACATCAAAGTCTATGATCCTATCTGCTGGTACTTCTGTGATCATCAATACTGTCATTACAGTGGCCAAACATGTACCAAACTGTAAGACTCCAAAGATAAATATTGATCAAATTAGAGAAGTGAGCAACTGCAGTCTCTTTTTTCCAATGATGAAAAGTACACACACACACACACACACACACACACACACACACACACACACACACACACACACACACACACACACACACACACACACTATTTATATGTTATGCTCCTTATCACCTCTATGCCACTGAATTTGAATGAACGGAAATATTGCACCTTTAACTCTGCTATGTTTATTTAACAGCTAGTTACGGCATATTACATTTGAAATGGGAAACACATGATCAGTGATAAATACTGTATGATGGATTATTATAGATTAAACCACCAGACAGTGTATTTAACGGTTAACATGTTAACCCATCAAATGTTATCATCGTATAGGTGCAGACAGCATAATGACAGATTTTTCTTTCAGATAGTATTTTGCTGCGGGTACAGGACTTTTAACTTTAATGAATAATTGTACAAAGTTTGATAATTATACTTTCCTACTCCACCGCCAAGATAATCGTTTTTGTTTCCCACAAAGTTGAGAGGCCTTTGAAACTATACTAACTTTACTTATGGTGTTTATAAAGAAAGTATCTCCTCAAATATTGAGAATAAACAGGGCTAATTTCCTCTAATAAACACTACAAGTGCACTCCTAAGAAATGCCAACACTTCAGCCTCTTCTGGTATTAATGCACTGCCACATGCACATTATGTTCGCTCGTGTCTTTGCATAATCTTAACTTTTGAGCCAAACAAGAAGGCATGCGACTAAAGCCGGTCCCTCCGCTCCTCGAGCCACATTACGTCCCCTCGTGCCTCATTGTTCCTGCTCTCAAAATTAACTCAAGAAACAAAAAGAAGCCTCTTCCCTCATACAAGCACTGCCAGACGCTAATAAAGCTTTCTACCTCCTTTGAAGTCGTATCATCTGGCGGCGTGGGTGGAGTCGCGTGGAATGTAAAGTACGTCAAAAAATGTACGCGTGCTACGCAGTCAGTAAATGAGGGCAGGCACGCGCCATATAGAGGGAACAATTCAGCACCAAGGTCAGCGCTCCGACTTCACAGCTGCCTGTGAACGCTGCCACTTTTTGTTTTCTCTACACCTCTGGATCAGTTCTCAAAGGTTGTTTTTTGTACTTATTCCAACAGTAGAGGTAATGGCTATGAGTCTCTGTGATAAAAATACAACTTCCACACACGAAAAGGTTCATATTCTTGCCTTAAGTAAAATAAAAAGTAATTCAACCAAATGAACTCAAACATTGACCTGGTCAGGTCAGGGCTTTGGTTAACAGTTTGTGGCTTTAAAGTGGAAAAAGTGGCGCAGGTTAATAAGAACTGTCCTGGGGCACGGGAATAACTTCAGCAGGCGGGCCTTTAATCTTCACTCTTTGTAGCTGCCCCCTACGAAGATCAGAAATTGCCAATAATGGAGGTGAATATATTGATGGAAATGTGCTCTGAATAAACATTAACTTTCTTTTTTTCAGAATGCTGCTGCGTCTGGCTTGGGGAGGTAGATTCTCTATTAATATTTATTAAAAATAGATGTTACAGGTGAGACCATTTCCCACCTGATTCAGGGTTATATGATCTGATGATTATTCTCCGTCTATTCTACATAAACTCTGGTAGCTTTCCAGTTATTAAAAGTGAATTCCAGGTTTGTTTCTCTGTAAATACTAAGGGATTTCCCCCCGTTGTAAGGTTTTTGCTTTTGATATGGCGTTTTTCTGTAGTGGGGGCATGAGCTTAATTTGTATACTTTATATTGTTTACACGGCGACCTTTCCTAAATAAATATGAGTTTAATTGTTTGGGATCCCACAGTCAGGTTGGCTTAGTTTTTGTTCATTAACATCATAAATTACTATACAGCAATTCAGGTTTCAAATCCATGCATCAGTTAACATGTCATCTGATAAACCTGATGGTGCTACAATTTGGTAATATTTCCCAAAAACAACAAATCCTTCCCCTGGTATTTCTGATGTCACAATAACTCCAAACGCATCCTACAAGCAGCTACAGAACTGCGTACTGCTACAATCCCAACATGCTAAGAAAACATGATATAAATCTCCTTTAAAACATAAAAAAAATATTTTAATATAAAAACACATTTTCGGATAAACATGGAAGAAAGAGTCATTCAAATGCATCTGATTTCATTCCCTCCTCAATGCAATCCGCGAAAAAGCACGAGATGTTCCCATCTAGCGTTAATTTAAGAGCAACAAGTTCAGTCGACACTTGTTTGACAAAAATACGAAAAAACACTGAACTAAAAAGGCTTCAAACTTCTATATTTGATGAGGCGAAGATATTTCTCAAAATAAATGCATCCTTTCTTAGCCGCAGGTCCGCACATTAGTGGACGTTCCATCTTTCCATTATAGCTTTCTACAGCCAGGGGAATGCGCAACCACAGAAAGAATAAATAAAGGGAGCACGGGTAAATAAATCCAACTACTCACCCCTGAGAACAGAGTCACTCTCACAACGACCCGCTGCAGTGAACTTGGATAAAACTCCTGCGCGTCTCTTCCTCAGCAGCAGCCGCACAGGTCTGTCATCCAACAATGTCTCCAAGTCACTTCGATGCGCTCTGCCTCTCTAGAGACGAGGCATGCTTGTGCCTTTCTGCGCACCGGGGCGCCTTATAAACGCGGAGCAACGGGAGACACGGTGACGCGCAGGGAGAGAGCCGTGCGCGGGCATTCAAATGAACTGTGGGTGGGTTTAGTTAGGTCGGCTATCGTCATCACTCAGCATGCAACACCCGACCCTCTTCACATACTCTGTCCCATTAGATCCTTCAGAGGGAGGGAAGGAGAAGGCAAGGCGTGTCACACCAACATGCAGCATTTTGACTGTTAACCTTTTTGAACTTGCAATAAAGTCACATTAGTCAGTTGGGGGTGAGGTTTTGAGCATTGCAAAAACGTTTCGTACAGGGCAGAAGTTTGAACTGCAACGCTGGGATTAAACAACCTGTCGCAATCTGTCTGTGTTTTGTCTTGTCTCTGTCTTTTGGTTTCCTGTCTGTGTGTTCCCTCATGTCTGATTAACCGATTGTGTTCACCTTGTGCCCTGTGTTTTCTCTTCCCTCCTCACCTGTGTCTTGTTTGTTTGATTAGTCCTGTGTGCATTTAGGTTCTGTTTTTTCTGTTAGTCTTTGTGAGATCCTTGTTTGTCTTTGACTGTGTTCACGGGGAAGAGTTATGTATGTTATTTAGCCTTGAAATAAAGGTATTTTCCGTTTATTCTGCATTTGGGTGCTGCCGGCTTCACTCAACCCTTATTTATGTTGATTTGGCATGTATGGCAATAATCCATTAATATCCAATTGTATATGGGCACCATGCAGATCAATGAGCACCAGTAGACCAACAGTGCAGAGACGCTAAACACTTTTCTAGAGATGTTATTCATTATATTTAGCCTTCATCCAGCCCAGAGAGAATCCCATTGAGAGCCCTTTGAAAAAGTGCAGATTAAAAGAAACTGTAAATGAGACCATAGCTATAAAAAAAAACAGCATTTATTGAGGATTTACCTTTACACGGTTTTTAAATTTTACCCTTAGGGAATCAATTTTTAGATAACTATGCGGGGAGCTTCAAATAGACGGAGGAAAGCTCTTCAGCTCACTAAATGCACTCAATCGAAACAAATTTAAAAAAGGGGACTACCAGCTTTTTAAGAAATGTAATGAAACTGTAATGAAACTGCTATGAATGAAGGTTGCTATGAAAAAATTTATATGAACATGGTTTCAATGAGGAACAAAATGACCAATACAAAGGTGCATATTCAAAGGTTTAATGTTTAATCCACCTTTATTAACAGACAGGAAGGATGAGGGTAACCATTCTTCCTTATATTTCCAAGTATCGGGATACATTTTTGTGTAAGATTTGTTTCAAAGGTCCTACAATTCCCCAGGGGTCACACACAACCCTTGTCAAACAGAAGACACATGATACTGTTATATATATATCCAGTAAGAACTCAGTGTAACGCACACCTGTTCCTAACCACATACAGGTTGTGTCTGTTCTGACTTTTCAGATACACCGCAAGATTATTATCTGTGTGAAAAAAACAATAAAAGCACAGTCATCCTGTACACTGCAAAACTTTTTTTGAGATGACCCTCAAAAGCTGTAAGTCAGCTAACCTGATGACCTTACAATCCATTTGCAGAATACTCCCTTTTGTAACAAGTTTTTAAAATATCGCACATGTATTTTTGATGCATGCTTGAGGAGGTCATATCCCGGGTCAATGTAAAGAGCAACTTTGAAAGAAACAAACATAATAATGAATATATTTAATTTAGACAAATCCTCCTGTTATATTGAGTTTTAGTTGATTAGCCGTTGGTGCATGTTGCCTATGGTCTTTAATGTATTATAGCTTCCCCTGTTTGACAGCCTGAGCTCCTATCCTATTTGTGGATACACTCACTTTAAAGTAAAAATGTTCCTTCATTTCATGTCTCTAATTTGTTCCGGAATTCATAACACAATCCTGGCGTATAATAAAAAAGAGTTTTACCCCTGTGATTAATTGGAAAGCACCAATCTTGGTTAATTAGTAATGGCCTTTAACTAGGGTCCACAGACAATTATAGTAGCCGTTATTAACAAATGATTATAATCTCACTTGCATTATATTCATTTTAAGCCTCAAACAAATTGTTATTTTGCAGAGTGGCCCAAAATGGTCAAAGGCCACTCCTTTATCTCTCATCATGGATTTGACCTGCCAGCTCCTGGAGGAAGGAGGAGGGTTTACATTGGAGGAAAGTGCCATAAACTAGAACTGAAACAATCTTATGCATCTTATTGGACATTGCATCTTCTTCTACCGTTTCTCACCCATCTCATCAATACTTCTCTAACTTCTGGTCACTTTCCAAACCCTCTCCTAAAGAAACCCACTCTCAACCCGTCCAATGTTATAAACTGGCCTGTCTCTCTCCTCCCATTCCTGTCTAAAACACTTGAACTGTCTTCAAACAACTCTCCTGTTATCTCAATCAGAACAACCTTCTTGATCCACACCTGGTTTCAAGGCAGATTGATTCCACATTCTGGAAAAACAAAAAAAGAGAAGTGACACATCTATTTATGAGAAAAAGGCTAATTTTAAAGTTCATACAGCATCTCTGCACAGAGATCTCTGTACAGAGATGCTGTATGAGAAACCAATGTGATTTTGGAAAATTGCACAATTTAAATCTATTCTAGTATACCTCAACAATGGAATTATGATCAGTAGTAATGGTCATGACATGGGACCTTTAAAATGAGCCTTTTTCTCATAAATAGATGTGTCACTTCTCTTTTTTTGTTTTTCCAGAATGTGGCTTTTCTTTTAAAATCATATTGTGACATTTTTACTGAAGACTTGCAATTATTTGCCCGAGACTTCTTTTCTTTCAGACGTAGTTAATTAAGAAGTTATTACCCTTTCCGATAATAATACAATGCAGAGGCAATAATGTAATATAATACATTATTTAATATAT